GACTGCAGTCAAACTGAGCGCCAGCTGGCCTGGGGCCCCAGACACCTAGGCACTCCTTAAATCTAGATGAATTATTTAACCGCGTGCTGAACGGTGGAACGCTCAAAATCGCCAACCAATGTCAAATACATTCGGCTACAAGTTTTCCCGGTTTCGCAACATCCACACTTACTAAGCCCACTAAAATCAATCGCACCCCCGACACGATCCTACGCACAATCCCCCCCGCCCCCCACACACACACACAAACAGACACAGACGCTGCGCACAGCCAGACGACTCCAGCCGCCCCGGGAGGCCGGCAGGCGTCGCTGTGTCACCGCTCACTTTTTCCAGCTCCTCAACGATGATGGCGCGCTTGCCGTGCGTGATCTCGGCCCGCTCCAACAGCTCGAACATGAAGCTGCCTGGGAAGTCGGCGCCTTCGCCCGGACTGGCGGCACCCACAGACACAGCGTCACGTGACGCGTCGGCGCTTCGCTGTGATCAGACGCGGATTAGCCGTCCAAGATTCGTGCAGGGGACGTTGTGAGATGGTGCAGTAAACGGAGAAGATGGCAAAGCCATGCGCGCACGTAAGCCCATAATGAAGGCGATGACAACCTGTAACGCTGTCTTACTAGGTGCTGTTTCTCCCAAACTTCACACAAAGTGATCTTCGCCGACCGTCTAACACAGGGGCTGCGGTAACACGTTATTATATCACACACTTACTCATATGTCCCTTGACACATGAGCATGCTCAAACCCCACCATAACGCCACCAAAGAAACCTTGTGCATCCGATCGGAATGCCACAATTGATCTCGGCCGACGGTGTCGGCGTTAGACGCACTTCGGTATGGGGATGGCGTCGATGGACTTCTCCAGCTCCAACAGCATGGCCTTCATCAGCATCAGATTCTCGGCGCTGAGCTCGGCGGCCGCCGCCGCGGAGCCGAACTCCGGGTCAGCCCCCGCCTCCGGCGACACCAGCTGGGTCAGCACCTGCGGCCACGCGGCGGTCAGGGGCACACCGGCCCGGTGCAGCGACGAGCTAAAGACGCGGTGATGTCGGGGTCACGCCCTGTGGAGATGCGGCGGTCACATCCTGCAGAGACATCAGGCAGAGATGCGGCGGTCACATCCTGCAGAGACATCTGGCAGAGATGCGGCGGTCACATCCTGCAGAGACATCAGGCGGAGATGCGGGGGTCACATCCTGCGGAGACCTCTGGCAGAAATGCGGCGGTCACATCCTGCGGAGACCTCTGGCGGAGATGCGGCGGTCACATCCTGCAAAGACCTCCGGCAGAGATGTGGCGGTCAGATCCTGCAGAGACATCTGGCAGAGATGCAGAGGTCACATTCTGTGGAGACGTCTGGGTCACATACCAAGGAGACGTCTGGGTCACATCCGGCAGAGACGTGACGGTCACACCCTGCGGAGATGTAGCGGTCACATTCTGCAGAGACATCAGGCAGAGATGCGGCGGTCACATCCTGTGGGGACGTCTGGGTCACATCTCGAGGAGACGTCTGGGTGACACCCGGCGGAGACGTGACGGTCACACCCTGCGGAGATGTGGCGGTTACATACTGTGGAGACGTTGCGGGTACATCCCGCGGAGATGTGGCGAATACCTTCCACAGAGACATCTGGCGGAGATGTGACGGCTACACCACATGTCATATAACGGCTGCCACATGTCCACATGTGGACATGTAGCAGCCGGAGCGCAGTAACGGCGTCAGCACCAGCGGTCAGTACAGGCCCGCTTCTGCCGCGCTGACTTGCGGCACTGCAACTGAACGACAGCGCACAGATGTCCTCAACACAGCGGCAGCTGACAGTGCTGGCACGTCTGATCCATTGGGCAGATGGGACATTCGTAGCGACCAGAATGTCATGGAGAGAGCCGACCTACACGCCGTATTTGCCCTCTGTTTGGCCACTGAAGCACAGAGAAGCAGGATACGGGAGGCGCGGACGCCGGTTCGGAGGCACCACATCACAGAAGAACAGACCATTCACGCACATCAATGTTTGCGTCGCATACCACAGCTCCGAACGTGGCACGTGACGTCATGGTACCAAAGACCGAAGTTGATCTCCGTTGTCGGGGAGACGGCCCCACGAACGTGACCTCTAGGGTCACGAGCACCCACCCGCTCGGCGCCATCTCCAGAGGCGTACTCACATGCGTGATCTCGTCCACGCAGAGCGCGATGTCGGTAGACTTGAGCTGCAGAGAGGCCGACTCCTCGCACATTTTCTCGATGTTGTGCGCCTCGTCAAATATGACGACGCTGTTCTGAGGGCAAACGAAGATCAGCCTCTAAAAAAAAAACAGCTGGGGCATCCAACATACAAAACTTCTGGTTGGATTTCATCGCTACCGAAAACCAAGCATACATGAGATGGAAATATTTGCCAGAAGTAGGGCCTTGATGTCCTTGCTTTCTCTATGTGCTATCTCACCGCACACCGCGCACTGCATCTCACCGCACACCGCACACTATGCCTCACCACACAATGTCACACAATGAGCAGTGGGCAGGGGCCCCGACTCATTTAACACGACTCACACAGTCCGCTGGCGGACGCATACCGACAGCCAGGGGAGGGGACCTGCCGGGCCAGCCAGCCCGCCCGGGGGAGGGAAGGGGGGAGGGGGCTCACCAGGCTCATCGGGCGGCTCACCTGCAGCTCAACGCCGTTCGCCTTGCGCGTCTTCGGGTCGAGCAGGTAGTTGTAGGGCAGGAAGATGATGTCGGCCGCCTCCTTCATGGAGCGGGCCATGTAGTACGGGCAGAAGTTGAGCTTCTTGCCGAGCTGCGCCAGGTCCTCGATGTCCGTGACGGGCATCTCGGTCAGCAGCTTGTCCGTGCGCCGCGACTCCACCTGGCGGCGGGGGGGGGGGGGGGGAGCGGGGGAGGGGACGTCGAGCCGGGGCGGTGATGAGCAGCACTGGTCAGCGAGAGGCGATGTCGTTAGCTCGGCCTGACGTGGCGCCCATTCGAAAATAAAGCCGCGCTGCTAAACATCTTACCGGCTAGGACCAAGATTCATAAAGGAAAGCAACAGCCTACGCTCGCATAGGCATACGAGCAGGAAACAAGCCGAGTTTGCTTGATCTTTTTATTCGATTTTATGATGTCATCGCTAACCTGAACTATAAGAGAATGTTCAATTTGAGGTGTACGGTCCAGCCTAGCCCAGCCCGGTCCAGGCCGGTATAGCACGGTCCAGGCCGGTCCAGCCCGGCCCAGGCCGGTCCAGGCCGATCCAGGCCAGTCAAGCCCGGTCCAGCCCAGTCCAGCCTGGCCCAGCCCGGTCAAGGCCAGTCCAGGCCTGGCCGGCCGTTGCGCGTTCAAGAAGTTATAACCTCCCCAGCCACTGATTACATGTTCACGCCATTTTCAGGAACAACACCTTTTTTCCTTTTTCCATTCTTTAAAAGTTGTGAATAAATTGTCCACAACGTTACAGAAACTTAAGTTCAGGTCAACCTAAACTATCTTGCCGCAGTGTTTGGAGGGCCCCGTAACAGGCTTACAGAACAATCTGGGGTGTGAAGGTCTCTGCAGCAGTACCTGCGGTGCTGATGCCTCAGAAAGGGAGCAAAATAACCACCCTGGCGCTCGGCGAAGCAAAACACCAAATCACTCTTCCAACCATAACTACTGTGCAAGAAACTCAAACCTATTATTGATCCGAGGCTACATTGGTTATAATGTAATGCATTTCGGACTCCCGCCTGCTGCCGTGGGCTTACCTGATTGTAGAAGAGACATGTACGGGACTTGACCTTGGCTTGGCACATGTGGACTTTAACGGAGTTGTTGGTTTCTTTGCTGACCTCTGGGTGTATGCACAGCTGAAATGAATGGTTCAAATACGGTGTGACCTGCTTGTCAGGCCAAAAAAGTACTACAAACAGGAAAAGAATGTATATTAGAAAAAATCAAATATGCGACGTATGATATTCTGATGCACAGGAACAAAAGTGGAGCCTTGTGCTACTCCAGTGCTGCATCCGTGAGGCCAGCACTGGAGTAAACCGCAAGCGTTCCAAGTCGTAGCACGGCGTCCGATAGGGGTGGTTAGTCAACGGCACGCGTGTATCCCCACTGGGGTCAGCAGCAGCCACGGTCGGGTCAGTCAGCGGCGGGGGTGTATCCCCACTGGGGTCAGCAGCATCCACGGTCGGGTCAGTCAACGGCACACTTGTATCTCCACTGGGGGCAGCGGCAGCCACGGTCGGGTCAGTCAGTGGCACACTTGTATCTCCACTGGGGGCAGCGGCAGCCACGGTCGGGTCAGTCAGTGGCACACTTGTATCTCCACTGGGGGCAGCAACATCCACGGTCGGGTCAGTCAACGGCACACTTGTATCTCCACTGGGGTCAGCAGCATCCACGGTCGGGTCAGTCACGGCACACTTGTATCTCCACTGGGGGCAGCAGCATCCACGGTCGGGTCAGTCAGCAGCACACTTGTATCTCCACTGGGGGCAGCGGCAGCCACGGTCGGGTCAGTCAACGGCACACTTGTATCTCCACTGGGGGCAGCGGCAGCCGCGGTCGGGTCAGTCAGTGGCACATTTGTATCTCCACTGGGGTTAGCAGCAGCCACGGTCGGGTCAGTCAGCGGCACACTTGTATCTCCACTGGGGTCAGCAGCAGCCACGGTCGGGTCAGTCAGTGGCACACTTGTATCTCCACTGGGGTCAGCAGCAGCCACGGTCGGGTCAGTCAGTGGCACACTTGTATCTCCACTGGGGTCAGCAGCAGCCACGGTCGGGTCAGTCAGCGGCACACTTGTATCTCCACTGGGGTCAGCAGTAGCCACGGTCGGGTCAGTCAGTGGCACACTTGTATCTCCACTGGGGTCAGCAGCAGCCACGGTCGGGTCAGTCAGCGGCACACTTGTATCTCCACTGGGGTCAGCAGCAGCCACGGTCGGGTCAGTCAGTGGCACACTTGTATCTCCACTGGGGTCAGCAGCAGCCACGGTCGGGTCAGTCAGTGGCACACTTGTATCTCCACTGGGGGCAGCGGCAGCCACGGTCAGGTCAGTCGGTGGCACACCTGTATCTCCACTGGGGTCAGCAGCAGCCACGGTCGGGTCAGTCAGCGGCGGGGGTGTATCCCCACCGGGGTCAGCAGCAGCCACGGTCGGGTCAGTCAACGGCACACTTGTATCTCCACTGGGGTCAGCAGCATCCACGGTCGGGTCAGTCAACGGCACACTTGTATCTCCACTGGGGGCAGCAGCATCCACGGTCGGGTCAGTCAGCAGCACACTTGTATCTCCACTGGGGGCAGCGGCAGCCACGGTCGGGTCAGTCAGCGGCACATTTGTATCTCCACTGGGGTCAGCAGCAGCCACGGTCGGGTCAGTCAGCGGCACACCTGTATCTCCACTGGGGTCAGCGGCAGCCACGGTCGGGTCAGTCAACGGCACACTTGTATCTCCACTGGGGGCAGCAGCATCCACGGTCGGGTCAGTCAACGGCACACTTGTATCTCCACTGGGGTCAGCGGCAGCCACGGTCGGGTCAGTCAGCGGCACACTTGTATCTCCACTGGGGGCAGCGGCAGCCACGGTCGGGTCAGTCAGCAGCACACTTGTATCTCCACTGGGGGCAGCGGCAGCCACGGTCGGGTCAGTCAGCGGCACATTTGTATCTCCACTGGGGTCAGCAGCAGCCACGGTCGGGTCAGTCAGCGGCACACCTGTATCTCCACTGGGGTCAGCGGCAGCCACGGTCGGGTCAGTCAACGGCACACTTGTATCTCCACTGGGGTCAGCGGCAGCCACGGTCGGGTCAGTCAACGGCACACTTGTATCTCCACTGGGGTCAGCAGTAGCCACGGTCGGGTCAGTCAGTGGCACATTTGTATCTCCACTGGGGTCAGCGGCAGCCACGGTCGGGTCAGTCAGCGGCACACTTGTATCTCCACTGGGGGCAGCGGCAGCCACGGTCGGGTCAGTCAGTGGCACACCTGTATCTCCACTGGGGTCAGCGGCAGCCACGGTCGGGTCAGTCAGTGGCACATTTGTATCTCCACTGGGGTCAGCAGCAGCCACGGTCGGGTCAGTCAGTGGCACACTTGTATCCCCACTGGGGTCAGCAGCAGCCACGGTCGGGTCAGTCAGCAGCACGCGTGTTCCACCGACACGGCCGAGCGTGCGGCCCAGCAGCGCGTGCCCGGTGTACCGGCGTACACAACGACGGTACCGCGCTGATCGTACTGCGTACCTGATCCCGGGAGCCGATCACCACGGCCCTGACGTGGCGGTAGGAGGTCCGCTTCAGCTCCTGCACCACCTGCGACAGCTGCGAATGCGTCCGGGACGCAAAGATGATTTTCGGCGCGCCTGCCGTGAGAGGCGCGAGCGAAGCAAGCCGTCAGCAAGCTGACGCCAGGTGAGCACTGCTCGGACGACACGACCAGGCCACATGTGCGTTAAATGATCGCGCGGTGCAGGTGGCAAGAGATCGGCTACGGCAGCGGCCAGTGGTCTATTCTAAGTATTCGGCCAATGTGCTGTAGTACCGAAATGTCACATATTTCACGTCGTTTTCGACATTCATAGCGTGGAAGCCGGGTATGTCCACGAAATTCTCCACTGTAGTCTTTCTACACCTGGCGACACGTCCACAGCCCGCAGAATCGATGCCAAGAGTGACAATATATGAGACATATATGAGACAAGACAATCGGGGCAGTGCTTCTGACCTTGGCCGCCGACTCATTAGTCGCAGGAGCCTGGTGTGAAGCGATCATCACTAGCCTTAAAGCACACGTCCGCGCACTTGGACCCGCTCCCAGAAGACGGAAACACGATATGGGGTCCCTTCAGTATGGAACACCAGGTACTTGTCAGGAGCAGAGGGAAAAGCAGCCTGGCAAATGTAAGACATAGAGCATTTCACGAACGGCGAACGTCTGGGGGAGATCCCGCTGCCATCCTCGCAGTGTGGATGGTGCTAGAGGGAACTGACCATTGTCTGCAACTTGTGCAAAGGCTCACAGGTGTGAGCTCGGAGGAATTTCTTCGAAGTAGACTTGGTGCCGTGACTAGTAACCATACTTACAAGGCTGCTAAGCTCCACTCAACCGTGAGGCAAAATCCCCTGAGTGAGAGGACGCTTTCTACGCATTTCTACGAGAAGACGCATTTCTACGCGCAGCCAGACAGCGTGGACCACCTTTCACCCACCCATGTATTCCTAAAAAAGCTGGGTGATGGTTAGGGATGAACGCACGCCAGGACCTTCAGAGCTGCCAATCACTGCAGCTCCGGCCGCAGGAGTCGCCCGCTGCGAGGACGTCCTCACCGATAACGGCCGGTGCGCCGGCGCCGCCCCAGCCGGGCCCGGCCGCCCGGTCCAGCTGGGCCGCCAGCGACGCGTACAGCTCAGGGTTGAGCTCGGCCATGCCGCGTACGGTGGCCGCCTGCTGAGCGCGCGCTGCCTCGGCCCAGCCTAGCGCCGCGCACAGCAGGCACAGCGTCTTGCCCGTGCCGGTCGGCGACTCCAGCACGCCATTCACGCCCTGCCGGCGCCGGCGCACTCCGTCAGAGCCGGCGCCGGGTCAGACTGGCCGGCGGGGAGCGACGCCAGACGGGCCGGCGCCGGGACAGACGGACCGGCGGGGAGCGACGTCAGACGGGCCAGCGCCGGGGCAGACGGGCCGGCGGGGAGCGACGTCAGACGGGCCAGCGCCGGGACAGACGGAACGGCGGGGAGCGACGTCGGACGGGCCGGCACCGGGTCAGACGGACCGGCGGGGAGCGACATCAGACGGGCCGGCGCCGGGACAGACGGGCCGGCGGAGAGCGACGTCAGACGGGCCGGAGCTGGGTCAGACGGGCCGGCGGGGAGCGACGCATGAGCCGAGCTGCTCGGGGAAGGCAGCCTTTACTGTGTGTCACTACCTATACACCAGTATTTGTGATCTCATGTCTGCATACTGCTCTCGCCAGGACATGGGGAAATGACCAAACACTCACAGAATGGCAAGGGAAGTGAAGACATTCAGTGAGCATCTGTTAGTCAGCATTGTTTCAATATTGATGGCCTGTCAGCATGAATCAGATTCTCTGGCATGATTTGATTCAGTTTCTATCAGTGATCATTCATGAAACACTGGAATGACCATCATTTAACAGCATTTGAATTGAAAATCACTTGGTGTGCATATTGACATTGGGGTTGAAAAATTGGATGCTGTGGAATAATAGTTGCATGACTTACCTGTTGCAGACATTTTATTACTTTTTCCATGTAGACCTTCTGAATTTCATATGGTTCAAATGGAAACCTCACTGGCACATCATTTACCATTATTTCAGTTTCTGGCATAATGATATGTCACCTGTAATGATAAAATAAATGAAATCTCTAAAAGGACAACTCCTATCCAATTAAATCACACTTAGTTTAACATAGCATACATTGCATACAAACATGTCACATGCAATTGGCTAGGCATACAAGACAAGTGAACAGGGGAAGGTGTATGATATCAAGAAGTGAACCTTCAGTGTTTCATTTTGAGCAGTATTTTAAGCAGATTAATGAGATGAATGCTATCAGTAAATATAGGCAAAACAAACTTGAATTATTCTATGCTGCAATTGTCAAGGTTTGAAGACTTTTTGCAACACTGCAAACTTTATTTTGCACGCAAACATAATTTGGCTGGAAACAACTCAAATGTCATTTATAGTGCTTCCAAGAAAATGCACAAAATCATAGCTGCCAAGCCTGTATTTTTGCAAACTCTGGTACTCATTCATGTTATCACAGTACTACCACAGTTGATGTTATTCCGTCAGTGTAAAGAAGTCAGTATCTGTATATGTTACATTTAATTTTGACATTTTGTCAAACATGCCTGCTGTAGAATTTCAGTGCATAAATTCCATAAATTTAAGCATAAATTTGAGCACAAGTTCTGCACATGATCACTGAGACTTATTTGTCATAATTGCAGTGCACTTTAGTCTATTATCACCATTTCTTTCAGTACAATTAGAGCCAGTTTCAAGAAATTGCAATTTCACAAATGCCCTGGTGCTAGATACATTTTTGCAGGGTTTGATGCTGGGTCCCTGCCAATTTCAGGCCACAAAAGCATTGCTTAAATGAATCATAATGTTGTTTAAAAAATTCAAGCAAATGCTCCCAGAACATGTTTTTGGAAAAATGGTCTTCAAAAGCCCAATGAGATTTGGTCTGGCCTCAATTTAGTGCAAGGATACTCCAGGTTCCTTGCACAAACACAACAATACCATCTGGCATAGCATGCATTTGCACACTGGGCCTTCAGTAGGGGAAAGCAAGGTGGTTGCCCACTTGCCACTCTAACTTGTCAGCCATTTATAAAATGGTGGATAAATGACATATGTCAGTAAGGACATACATTTAGTAGCATGGTTGGGCCAGAAAATGTCTGGCATGTTCAGCATTTGTTTAAGCCCTACTGAACCTCTGCTGGCCCACACACACAGAATGCCTCATGAAGCGAACCAAGTACCTGTAATAACCCACGAATTTTTACCATAGTATCTTATTATGTTTCTTCCCTTCACCAGTAGGTCCTTTTAAATGGTATGTCGTTCGCACATCGACGACAACCACCACCCACCCCTTCCTACCAACGACCTCGAAACAAGCAATGCCATGCATACGGTCAACGGCCTTGGGTCACGGCCAGTGTTTTCATTACCTTGACACAGGCTTAAATGTATCCAAAGCCGGTACAACGAGCGTACAAGCAGTCACTCGGATGCTAACGCCGGACCACTTCGTTATTATAGGGCTCGCATCAGTCCCCCGTTCAATGCCTGGCGCGCTATCTACATCACACGCCTCATATGCGGCATTTTTGTAGCAATCATATTCCATGATTGTTATGGCATCGGAACTGTCAGATACCCTGTAGATGTGTGTTGTCAAAAGACGTCATAAAAAATAAAGTGGCATGTAGTTCCTTAAATTAACAAAAAAATAAAATTTTATATTTAAATCAGCATATTTTATTGTTTTAAGTAAGATTATTGATTGCATTTATTTAAAAATTTCAGTAGTAATTGTAATACGTCATTTTTTGACAGCTGGTTCCTTTCTCACGGTACAGATGGCAAATGTGCGTATCAGAAGTATAGGTTTGTTTTCAAGGTTGCTTGTAGGAGTTGCATCGTTATTGACCATCGAGTGCGATAAATGCTTGGGTGGAGGTGGTTAGGCAGTGTTGGTGTTGGGAGCGGAGGATAAAAAGCATCGGTAAGTTTTCGTTAGCCCTCAGCATTGATTTCCCTTAAATTAACAATTTGTGTTCTGTTCTTGTCTTGTGGCTATTCAATTGTTAATATCGAACGCGTCATCCGATGCACTGGGGATCGTTGTACATATTTGTTTCAGCCGAAAGGTAGAAATCATCTTGTTCTGGCTGCTCTGATGCTCACTGGCTCATTACGGTTGTTGTGAACATGGAGAGGTGCCCGAATCAGTGAAATAAATTAGTTATATAGACTTATTTGCCCTGTTGCTGGGTTGGTGTCAGCATTTTACTGAGTTTTACCATTATGGGAAATGTGAGCCTTGAGTTTCTGGGAAAAGCAATGAGGGAACTCTTTCTTCAGGGATGCCTTGGACAAATGCCCTTTTCTTGGGGTTGGGTGCAATCCTGGCATCTAGTAAGGTGCCAGGATTGCCCATGCCACCACTAGGATGCCCCACATGTGATGTATCTTCCACTTAAGTTTAGGTATATGGACATAGCTTTGTTTGTTTTTCCCAAATTGGCATTCATTATGCAGGTTTTGGGCAGAGAACTGCTATTCTTTCTCTGAGATATGCATGTCTTCTTTAATTTGTCTTAGGGATGTGGAGAGGAATGGAGATATAGACATAATTCATAGTGGCTCAGTATGATTGACAATTAAAGAGTTCCTACTCCATAACTGCCAACATGGCTTGTGAAGCAAAGCCTCTATACTATTAAGCGTAACACCTGCAGCTTAAGTGATCTATTTTATCTCAAGGCCAATGCTAGTTTATATTGGGTTTTGATGTAGTACATATATAAACATGTGCATTCAATGCATATATATATATATATATATATATATATACACATATATTTCACTTACCAAACTTTGAAATTTAGCTTACAAGTGAAAAGTTCTAAGTTTTTGTCAAGGTAATGCATAATTCAGAGAAAAAAGCACAACCCACAGACCACAGACTACACATCCAGCAATGCATGTAGGTACCACACATTCTTAGAGACAGAATCTATAGTCAAGCAGTTGCCAACAATCTTCCATTATTTAATGGCACTATTCCATTTAGGTGGTTCTGAATTGCAGCCTCATCTTTTTTTGGGTGTCACACAACCATATGAAAAGTTAATATCAACATTAATATAAGGATGAGGCACAGCATTGAAAATAAGTGTATGATTTGAGACTTTTCTTACCCACTTTGACAATTAGCTTATAAATGCACAAAAAGAGTAAAGCATCACAGGCTTAATGGGAAGCTTCTTCTTTGGTGCAGAAAGATGACTTCTGCCAAGATATTAACTGTGTGTTTTATGCTGAATATGTGCTGGTATGTTTGTTTAGTTCACACCATGTATATTTGCATGACATATGGGTACTTACACTGTCATCATCCATAATGTTAGGGGTATCCAGGTATGTGCAGTCATGGCTATGTTCATCGGCTGTTTGAAGATGGGTATTACCTGAGGTTTGAATTATGGGCAGAACCTGGCTTTTGGCTGCATCCATGTCACCATGTTTAGAAAAGCAGTGTCATTTGAAGTCAATACAGTAATGTGATAATGTTCTGGAAGACTGCATTGTATTGCGAGCCAACTTGGCAGCAATGTGTGTCCATTAATGGAAAACATTCAGAATGGATACTGTGCCAAAGGACTACAAGAGAACATGCTTGAGGAAAGGCCTGTCAGAGATGTGCCTTAGGTGGAAAATTGTCACTGCTGCCACACATACTCCACAACATTTTGGACTCATCTGTGTCATGGTTGCATTACCAAGGACTCAATGTGTGGCAGGTATTCTGTAGAATATGCTTCCTGGCCACCCTAGAAGACTGCCCTACCTCACTTTGCCTCACTTCACAGAACCCAGACTTCCATTCTAGCATTCATTAGGTGCAAGACTCAAAACAGGCATCAGAACAGGCAGACAGAACAGGCATGTTTTGCCCAGCTTACCACATGGCATGTAAAACTCTGCAGTACTGTCTGACAAGGAGACTAAGGGCAACGTTGTGTGACAACTGAGTGGTTTGGCACAGCTGAGATGGATTACCAGGATGCATGCAACAAGCTCTGCATGACAAGGACTTTCAAATTAAGCTCACCTTTTCCAAGCATCAGAACTAAATTTCTGGGAAATTGGTTGTTTAGTGCACACATTTTCATATTGCCCTGTTTTCAGGCTAGTTATCCATCACCACTGGCAGCACCATGGCATCTCCGGCTGGCGCGACCGCCCGTCCAAACGTGTACAGCTTTAAAGTGGTGCTCCTGGGTGAGGGCGCCGTCGGCAAAACGTCGGTCGTTCTGTCATACGTGGAGGGAAAGTTCAATGAGAAGCACACAACCACCCTCCAGGTAAGCCCACCCGTCTGCGATCCGCCGGGGGACAGCGGATGTCGTGATCGGCGAACTGGCGTGGGAATGTGCCGATGTACCGATTTGACGGGTATTGTATCTGTGTGTAGGTTACAATAATGCGACCACGGTGTTTGTGTACTCATGTTGTTCACACCGGTGGTCGACGTCGGCGGGCGGGCCGCGCAGCGCGTCAGCCAGCGCCGGCGTGTCGTTAGCGGGCGGCGGGTCACGCTGCTCGCCCACGGCGGCGCTGATCTGGTGACCAATGGCCGACTTCGGACCGTCCTGTGTCAGTGTACTCTCCGGCGGGTGGTGACATCGCTGCTGCCACGCGTCAGTCCCGCAGCCCTGCTCCGGTCCGTTGCGCGGTGTTGACGGGGTCCCGCCGTTCCGTCCCGTCGCGCTGCTTCCGCTGTTCGCTGTATTGTGTGGCTGGGTCCCACACCCGCACAAGCCTTCCCCTCCGATTGTTCCCAAGTCGCCGCATTGTTTCTGACCGCTCCGTGTCCAGTGCGATGTTCTGCGCTATGCGCTTTGGTCCGCGTGGCTCCGCATTGGTCCAGCCTCTGTTTTTGCCCGCTATCGTGTGCGGCGCCGGTGCATCAGCCTGGGTTGCACCGCTACCATGTCTTGCTCTTGGCTTCTCACGCCACTCATCATTGCCGTGTGTATTCTGTTCTGATGACCTGTGATGTTCTGACTGGTGTGCATTGCTCCCTGCTATCCTGTGTTACTCCCCCAGCCCTACATGGCCGTCGCTGTTCCTTGCTGCCTCCTCCGACCAATGTTGGTCGCACTGCCCCGTGTTGCCCCCGTGTGTCCGCCTTGGCTCCACCGTCTTGCGTGGCTCCCAGCCTCCTTTGTTGGCCCCACCGTCCCATGTGACTCCCAGTTTCTTCTATTGGCCTCACCGTCCCATCTGACTCCCAGTTTCTTCTGTTGTTCCCACTGTCCCATGTGACTCCCAGTTTCCTGTGTTGTTCCCATCGTCCCATGTGACTCCCAGTTTCCTGTGTTGTTCCCACCGTCCCATGTGGCCGCCAGTCTCCTGTGTTGCTCCCATCGTCCCATGTGACTCCCAGTCTCCTGTGTTGTTCCCACCGTCCCGTGTGACTCCCAGTTTCTCGTGTCGTTCCCACCGCCCCATATGGCCCTCAGTGTCCTGCGTTCCCACCGCCCCGTGTGACCCCCAGTCTCCTGTGTTGGTCACACTGTCTCTTGTCACCCCCAGTCTCCCGTGTTGGTCCCACCGTCTCGTGTGGCGCTCGGTCTCCTGTGTTGGTCCCACCGTCTCGTGTGGCGCTCGGTCTGCTGTGTTGGCCCCACCGTCTCGTGTGGCGCTCGGTCTCCTGTGTTGGCCCCACCGTCTCGCACTGTCCTCGTGGTTCCGTGCTGCTCTGTGCCCCGTATTAGTCCCAGCGCGCCGGGCGTGCTGCCCCCGCCGTTATGCGTTGGAGCGACGCACGCCGCTGTCGCGTGCTGAGCCTGACGTGTGGCCGGGCCGGCGGCAGGCGTCGTTCCTGACCAAGAAGCTGTCGCTGGGCGGCCGACGCGTCTCGCTGGCCATCTGGGACACGGCCGGCCAGGAGCGCTTCCACGCACTGGGCCCCATCTACTACCGCGACTCGAACGGCGCCTGCCTCGTGTACGACGTCACCGACGAGGACTCGTTCCAGAAGGTAGGGTCGTCGGGTCTCCTCCCGAAGGCACCACGATGCTTGCGGGCTGTTGTGGGCTGGCGTCGTGAAAACCACACATTTTTCCAGGTGTCGAGTTTTTCGTTATTTACGCAAGACTTCATTTTAGGTCATTTTAGGCCTCGTATGCATTTTATTAACATGTTTTTCGGCAATGTAACATTTGTTTCATTCAGGATGCATTTACGATGCGATGCAGGATGCAGGACGACTTTACATGCACTTCTTCGCGTGCATTTTATTTACATGTTTTTTTGGCAAGATGACAGTTGCCCACTTCAGATTGCTTATAATACCGTTCAGCAAATTGCATTCAAATTTCAGGTGAAGAACTGGGTGAAGGAGCTGCGGAAGATGCTGGGATCTGAGATTTGCCTGGTGATCTGCGGCAATAAGGTCGACCTGGCGAAGGAGAGGGTGGTGGACCTCAGCACTGCGCTCGCGTGAGTCCTGCGAGACATGCGCGGCTCAGATCGGCTGGAGAAGCCCTGAGCTCTCCGTGACGTCACTGTACGGACGAGCACGGGACCCCTCCGCTAGCTAGGGGCGGGTTGTCAGAGCCGCGTTTGATACTCCGTGTTTCCACAGCGCGGGCCATCGCGTCCAGCGACGTCCTGGACCATTTCCTCTTTTACTGCACCATTTCAGAATGGCTCGTTTACTTTTCCATGTCATGTGCCGCTAGTGGGGTCAGTTTTACGAATTGCGCCACACCGCTCTGAACGCTACACGAGTTTGTGTATTGAGGCAGATACCACTTATGCTGAGGTTTGCGGACTTCGCCTGCTCCACGCATCGATAAACAGTCAGAACCGAGATCGATAAACAAAGATAAACACCGAAGTCACAGATCTGGGATAATTATGTGAACTGACCCGCAGCACCAGCGGCTGGTCCAGGTCCCATTCACGCCCGAGCCGATACCGGCGTTATCGGCCACGCCCTATCGCCCCGCCTCCCCGACTTACCGCCGAACGCGTGGGCAGGTACGCCGACTCCGTGGGCGCCAAGCACTTCGAGACGTCGGCGAAGACCGGCGTCGGGATCGAGGAGGTGTTCCTCTTCCTCAGCCAGCAGATGGTGCGCGTCAAGGACTCCAAGGAGGGCGCCGTCGGCACCGGCTCGCTGCGCCGCCGCCAGAACGTCGTCGTCGTCGAGCAGCCGGAGCCGGAGCCGGCCAAACGGGCGTGCTGCGGCTAGGCGCCGCGCCGCCCGGCGCGCGAGAGAACAAATCGGGAGGGTGCGGCGCCGCGGCGCGACCGCGTCAGCTGCTGCGTTGAAGAGTATTTTGTAATCGTTTATTGGCGGTAGTCGGGCATTCCGTGAGGCAGGCTAGCCTGGCACTGGGCCTCGCCACCAGCGCCGAGCCGCCGCGCGCCTGATCGGTGTTTTAACTGCGACTCGAGCTCGTCCCCCACTGCGAGCCAGCCGGGGCGTGCCGCCTATTGGCGCGCCGCTGGTCTGCCGCCGTTCCGTGCGCCGCTCCTAGTCAGTGAAAGGCAACATGTGTTCTGTGCTTTATTCAGATCGCATCTCATTCATTTCAATATTAATATTTTAATAACTAAATAAAAGACGAGACGTTGCCGAGACTCGGTGTTATCTGTTTTCAGCGGACGGCTCTGAGCAGTGAGTGGCCGCCAGTCCGCGCCGACGGCGCCACGCGTCGACCGCGCGGGCACCAGCTGCGAGACGGCCGAGTCGCGCCTGGTACGCGAGGTATCCTAGGTACTGAAAACAGGCACTCGCTCTCGTTTCGCGCGCATTGTACAAGGTATAAATAACTTTACACAGGCACAGTATATCTCAGTCGTCCGGCCACTCTCTCGCGCGCGCGCGCCGCCGCCGGGCGGGCGCGCGGCGGGGGTTACAACACGGGGAGGAGGGGCACGCTGCGGGCGCGGGTGCGAGTGCAGCAGCGTGCGGCGCACATGATCACCGACTGCGCAGGGGCCGGCCGGCGGCCGGTCCGCGGGCGCGGGCGGGCGGGCGCGGCGCGCCGACCGCGGCGTTGACTAGACCAGCGGCGCGGGCCGGCGGCGGGGCGGGTCACTTGGACAGCTTGGATATGACCCGTATGAGGGCGCCGTTCTCGTCCCGCAGTCGCCGGTTCTCGGCCTTCAGCTCCTCCATGGCCTGCGGGCGGCGGCGAGGCGGTCAGGGCGGCCCTGGCAGCGCTGGCGGTGAGGGCCGGGCGCCGCCGGAGCGGTGTGGGAGACCCCGGCCGAGCCACACCGTGCAGCTACGTCCGGCGGTGCGGACGACCCGGCCGCCGCCGACAGTGGCCGACGCGCCCCCGGCCGGGTCTACTGCGGGGTGCGGAGGCGGGGTGGGGGTCGCTGTTCAAAAGAGTGCAGCCCAATCCTGCCGTACTGGAGAGCTCACCCGGCCCGGCCGCTGTACTGAGCGGCGGAGGCCCGCCACACCACCTCTGACGTGGCGCGTAACGCCGGTCCAACCTGCACCACCAAGGCCGCCCGACAGCCACAGAGTCACGCCCGACCGGCTTGGTAATCGGGCCGTTCTCACCACACCGCTAAGGTGCTCCGCCCGCCGTCGGGCTCTTAGATCGTGCACTCTTACTAACTCCACGCCGAGCCGACAGGAAGCTCACGACCATGTTTTATGGAGCGTGGTGACTACAACACCGAACACTACGCTGCTGCGCCGCTATCTGTGACAGGGGCAGGGGAAGCGGGGCATCATCTGGCACACAAGGCGGCTTCCGACAAAGGTCGCGCGAAAAAGCAGTCCTCAGCAATTCAGCTGGCTAGTTACTCAAAGGATGTAAATGAGGATCGGTGTCAGGGCTTATACCGCATTCCATTCCGTAAGGAAAGCGAGAGTAATCGACTGGTTCAATAGACGTACTTTCCAGCAGCACGACTGAGGTCGATCGCCCGTGCGCCATGTAGAGCATGCCGAGCTCGGTCCACTGCGTGTGATGGCGTTGGCTCGGTAAAGCCGACGCGATCCCGGCCGCACGGCCGCCGACCCTCCGTCGGGGCTTGTTTGCCCTCGCACTCCGTAAACAGTGGGCGGCGGGCCTCGTGTCCCGGTGCGCACCTGCGGGCTGGCCGGCCGCCAGCACCGCTCCCCGTACAGCGGCCGTGACGTCAGCCCGATGACGTCAGCGGCGCGTCCGTCTGTCCGTCGCGGGGCCGCCACTCATCCGACGGCCGGGACCGGTCCCCCGTCCTCTGACCGCGGCGTCGCCACGTGAGCACGCGCCGAAATAGCCGGCCGCCGGGCTCGGCCACCGCAGCGGCGCCGCGGAGACGGCGGCCGGGCCGACGGTCCCATCATTGCGCCCCCTCCCCCCCTCCCCTCTTTGTCCGGCGGTGTCCGTCGCAGGTGATGACGCGCCGCGTCGACGGTCGCCGCGCTATAAATACGCGCCCCTTGACCAGCGCGTGACATCCGGCCCTGACCTCGACCTTGGCGGCCGGCCGGTGACAGCTGCGGTTAGTTGCTGATGACATCAGCCGGCCGCCACCCAGCCAGGGCACGGCGCTTCTTCACAGGGCCAAACCACCACCCGGATGAGTCGGTCGCATGGTGCGACTGTCTCCCAATAATACTCCTGATTAGTTGTGGCTGTCTGGTGCTAATGGGGACGGCTGGCCGCCGACCAACCATGTGGATGTGAGTGGGAAGGGACGTTTCTGTAAACCAGGTCACTAATGTAGGCTGGGATAGCTGCAATCCCGTCAACGAGTGACCAGTTTGTTTTCCCCTGCCACACGCCATTAAACAGGCCCCTCTCAACTATTCCACAGCAAAAGAACTAGGTCAACGGCACACCCCAAGAACAGCGAGCGATAAAACGAACGAGGAAATGCAGTTTACATTTGTTTAAGGACCGATGCTTATTGAGTGATGCGACGAGCTTCCAGTTTATGTTCCGATTAAAGAACAGTGTGCATTCCTCATCCAACGAAGAGTGAAGGCTGGCAGGCGGAGTGGTCTAAATGACAGAGACTGCGTGCAAAGGCACACACTAACGCTCCCTGTTAGTCTAGGCGGGAAAACGTCGCGTTTTAGTCACTGAAAGGGCGTTTTAGTTCTATCATGCAGCTGCCTAGGCGCCGTATACCGCTCAAGTGGCCGCCGTATCCTAACTTCGAGTGGCCGCAGGTATGCGAATGCTATCTTTGTTCACAATTTAGACGCCCTGAGAACCTCAGCACCGAGGTCGCGCGCCGCTGGTGGCGCCGCAGGACGGCCTGTAGACTGTCCGACGCACCAGCTAGCCGGGTCAGCGGGTCGCCCACCTCCGCCCCGACGCCACGTTGTCCCCTCTCAGCTGCGACCAGACGTCTCATCCGCCGCGCACCAGCAGCCCCCTCCCCCTCCCGCCTGGCGCGCCGCGTCCGCGTCGATCGCAGCGCGTCGTGGATGCCGTCGTGGCCGCCATCTTCGCGCTCGATCTGGCGGCGCTGACGCCCCGTCACGGCGCCGATGGCGTCCGTCACCGGGCCTGAATCGGGTCACTGTGTCCGGGCTGCAGGAACCGGGGGCCGTGCCAGAACTAACGCCACCGAACTGCGGCCGCCGCGCCAAACGTCAGCTATCGGCCTTATCCCAGCGTGCTGGCCTCATCCAGGCGTGTAGGGCTTGTATTGAGTGACCCGTGGGTGTGATTGAACCCATATATCGGAGAGGTCGCCGCGTTATCAGCAGCAAGTGTCAGTCATGTCACTTGTGTGTGCCGCACTAGTGATTCAGATTTGCTCTATACGTATTGGCTGTCGAAACCCCGCTTGTACACCTCTCCTCTCCTGTACTGACCGTGCCACAGGTGGCGCCACCTTCAGTCCGTCACTTAATCTGAATCGGCCACCGCGAGGCCAGGCACACCGCAAATTCAGTCATGCCACCAGACAGCCGCGCCGAACGTCCGAGGTCCAACCACGCGGAGCTTCCGCCGCGTCGAGCCCCGCCCGCTCTCGTCGGCGCCTCCCATCGCCAGCGCCGACCGGATGCGCTCGGCCCCGGCGTGGAGCCAGCCGCCGGGGCGCGCGTGCGGTCTACTGGCTGGGGTCTATGTTAGGCGGCCTGGCCGCGGGGCGGCACACCACACAGCACACCGAGCGCCGGCCGGTCCGCGGCCGCTGCCGCCGGCCGGGCGAGCGCACGGGCGCGAGCGGGCAGCATGCGGCCTCGCGCCTCTCTCTCACCCATCTATTTGTGCGCCGCGCCGCCGGCCGCGTTAGTAAGCTTGGAGACGACACGCGTCAGGGCGCGGTTCTCCGCCTTCAATTTCTCGTTCTCGGCTTTCAGAGTTTGCAAGTGCTGAAACACGGAGCAGTGCGCGTGGGTACGGCGGCGCACGCCCGTCGGCACCGGCGCGCCTGCGGTCAGTGCCTGGGGCGGGGCGGGGCGGTGCGGGGAGGGCGGGGCGTTACCTTGAGCTCCTCCTCCATCTCGGAGAGTTTGCGCTCGAGCGCGCGCTTCTCGCGCTTGTCCGACTCGGCCGCTGCCACCCGGCTGCTGCTCTGCAAGGGCGAGAGGGGCCGGCCGGTCAGCCAGGCGCGCGCCGTTAGGCCGGTCAGCGGGCGGCCGTGCAGCCTACGGCGCGGTACGCACAGAGCGACAGAGCGGGGTTACGTGTCGACGCGCCAGTCACAAGCGTCGCACAGAGCGAGAGGGGCGGCCGCCGACCGACGCCGGAGCACCGCCCGGCGTGAGGTACAGCCAGACTGCGAGGCACGGCCATTCCAGATCAGTGCCGAGTTGCGCAGCGGTGGCGGTGAAACGGCCAGACGGCGACAGCTGCGAGCCGACAGATGGGCGGGCGCACCTACCTGCCGAGGGCGGGGCGGGGCGGGGCGCGCGTGACACCGCGGCCCGGCGCCGGACGCGCACAGGACGCAACACGGGGCGGGCCGCTCGCGACCGGCCGGGCACGTACCATTTGTAACGTTTTGTCGAGGTTTAGCTTGGCGTCGCGCGAGTCCGCCTGCGCCTCGGCCAGTCGCTGCTGCAGCTTGTCGTTCTCCACCATCGCGTCCTCGTACAGCTGCAACGGGCGGAGCGCTTCCGCTCAGCGACGCCAGGAGCGCACCGATCTAGAGCGGACGCCATCCCAGCGATCCCGAGTCGGACCGCAACACCAATAAACGCCGCACCTCAAACTGTTGCGGTAATCGACGTCGAACGGCTGAGATTCCATTTACCGTTCCAAGTGCTATGATTACAACGGCCAATCACGACGTGCAAGATTGGCATCCTCAACGATAACATCTATTTCAAAAATAGCAATCAACAGATAGACAGAGCATTCCACACCCGCGGGCTTCCCACGCTGGCCGCTCGGGCCCAGCCAGCGGCCCTGCGTCGGTCCCTCGCCGCCCACCTTCTTGTAGTCGAGCTCGCCGTTCTCGACGCTGTTGGCGCGGCTCGGCGTCCGACTGTTGCACTCGCTGGCGTTGGCGTTCGACTGGTTGCTCAGCGCCTGCCGGGCGGACCACGGTCACGGTCAGGAGCGTGCACCGCCGCCGGCGACAGACCGCACCGTCATCGGCACCGGCGACACACACACACACACACACACACACACCACGCACGCACGCACGCACGCACGCACGCACGCACGCACGCACGCACGCACGCACGCACGCACGCACGCACACCGGCGCCCGGCCAGCCTCTCGGCAGATGCGGCAGAGCCGTCTGAGTCTGGGGAGATAAAGGTGGCTAAAGGGTTAGAGGTACTTTGTGGGGGCATGCAAATATTGCCGAGGGATCGCTTACGAATCCCACACAATCACACGCAGTCGCTTACGAGTCAGTTCGTGGGGCGCACCATATGACTCCTGTCGGGCACTCCTGTCTGACTCACCACGGATGTTAAGCGCCGACATGTCGTTCCGATTGAGAGCCAACAACCGCCAGCTATACATCGTAGCCAGGCTCATGGAAACACGGCAATCTTACCGGTGACTTCCTTATTACAATCCCGCAGATGACACTTTCGTAACCGCCTATGCCAGGACACGCTCTCCACAGTACACCATAGGCCCGACAGGCCAGCCTCTCTCCGCCAGCGCAGCTGAGCGCTGCCGTTCGCTCGACAGACGCCGGGGAACGCAAACACGGCACCTCGCCGCCGCAGACCGCGGGCCGCCAGCGCCACCGAGCCGACGGGCCGCCCCGCGCCGCCGCCGGCTCACGCGCTCGGCTTCCCGCTCGTGCTGGCGGTGTGCACAGCTGAGAGAAAGTGCTGTCAAGGTTTTTACGTGCTCGCGCACACGTGCCCTATCACGTGCTCAACCGAATGTACCGAGACGCATTACCCCAAACAGTGCGCCGCGAAAGGGAAGGAATGCAGGACATATGCATGGACCGTGCGTGCACACGGCGTACAATACCTCGGCGGACGCGGAAAATGGTCATTCCTCCCCACCAATTACAGGTCCCAAACATGGCAGATGGGATGCGAAAGTCGACATGACGCGTCGCCAGTAACAAGCGAGCCGGCGCCCAACTGCTCACAACGCCGGTGAGCCCCGCCGTCCCAGAGGTCCGACGGTGCGCGGAGGGACGGGACGGGACGGGACAGGACGGAAACGGGACGGGACGGGACGGGACGGGACGGGACGGGACGGGACGGGACGGGACGGGACGGGACGGGACGGGACGGGACGGGACGGGACGGACGGGACGGGACGGGACGGGACGGGACGGGACGGGACGGGACGGGACGGGACGGGACGGGACGGGACGGGACGGGACGGGACGAGGACGGGACGGGACGAAACGGGACGGGACGACGGGACGGGACGGGACGGGACGGGACGGGACGGGACGCCTGGAGGAATCCCAGCGTCGCGGCATCCGCCTGCGTCTGTCACCTAGGCGACACCATTCCGCCACACCATCGACGGATGAGAGGAACTGCTGCGAGCTTTGGCAGCTGCTAAATCCGTGTCGTGACAAACAAAGCAACCGGCTCCTACACAAACAACAAAGAAAAAGTGTTTAAAATACAATGATTGCGTGCAAGACGTCAAGACGCGCAGACGACTCCGTCCACGACAATAACAGCGAGAGATCTGAAAGAACTTCGCTGCACGGCCGACTGCAACAAGCCGAGTCCACCACGTGTCGACCCTTCCATCACGGAAACAGCTCAGTGGCATCCACGTGCTCCACCGTCTACCAACACGGCCGCGACACCGATGATCAGCCCGCAGTCCCCATCTCAGCGCGAGCCGGTCGGGTCCGCTGCCGTCCGCCCTCGGCCGCCGCCGGTCGGGGTGCGATCAAGGCCGCCGCGGCACCCGTCAGCGACGGCGACAGTTCGCTGGCCGGTCGCCAGGTGGCACGGTGACCCGCCGCGACAGCGCAGACGTCCGGCGGCGACGGACGGCGTCCCGCTGCGAGGTCGTCACAGGTCACGGACGGGGCCGAGCGCCGGCCGGCTGGCGGAGCGAGCGGACGTCGGCCGTCCGCCAGCCACGCCGTGTTTCCCTGGTAGTGCTCGCTGTCCTGCCGGCAGCGGACGCGTGGCGGCGCGCCGACGCCCTCCGATGTCGGCGCCGGCAGGTCCAGCGACGGTCCGGCGGCCCCGTGCTGCGACAGGCCGCGCCGCCAGCCTTCCCACCGAGCCCGCCCGCCAGCGCAGCGGCGGCAGGCTCGGCGGTAGCGGGACACCCGACCGTCAGCCGGCTGACATGACAGCCGGACGGCGAGCGGCGCCGCGCCGGCGTCCCCTTCCCCGTCATCCGTCATGCGGACACAGCCGCCGTCAGCAGACGGCTAAAATAGCGCGCCGCAACGCCGGCGACAGCGATCGTGCTGTCTGGCCGCTGCCAGCGGCCGGAGCCGAGCAATGATGGACGACGAGGCGCTCCGCGAGCGGAGCGGAGCGGAGCGGCGCCGGGCGCCGACGCCGGCCACTCTTAATTCCGCACCGCTTACGGAGCGTTGGAACGGTGCCCGAGCGCGTGATGGAGAGAGGGCACCGGCCGGCGCCGAGGGACCATCCGTCAGGACGGCGATAGCACGTGACGCCCCGTCACAAAGAACGCAAGCTGTTTGAGGTTGGACCGAAATACATGATCGTCAAGCCGCGTGCAATTCAGATAAGAGGCATTCTACGAACGGCAGTGACTCTCCGGACCGACCACAGCTACCTCGCTCCGCAAGGGTCTGACACGACCGCCCTTCTCCGCTGCCGGGTGCCGCCACCTCCAGCGTCTGGTGTGGCGAGTGATGGACAGGGCCAGCCGGCGCCCCCTCCACCCCTTTCCAAGACCGCCGGAACTGATCAGCGCCGGCCGAGGGAGCGGATCGGCGAACCGGGCAGCACGTGCCGTGAGTCAGCCGCTGCCGGCCTCGTCCCGGCCCCGACCCGGCCCGGCCCCGCCCGGCCCGCACCTGGAGACGCACGTCAGGGCGGCGGAGCGCGGGGCGGCAAAGGGACGGGCGCCGACGGAGCCGAAACACCGGCGGCTCCCGGGGCCGACTCCGCCGAGCGCCTCCGTTCGCAGCCACTGTTGTTCACAACCGATCAACACAGCGCCGGCGCCGTAAATAACACAGAGAAGACCCAGACTATCTGCCGCAAACCGGCGACGACGGTCCCGGCGCCTGAGGACAGCGAGGCAGACTATCCACCGCAGAACGGCGACGATGAGCATACTGGAACGGCAAAATGAAGAATACTGGAACACAGGCATACGTAGTAGGCCCGGGTGAATATTGTAACGAGTGTGAATCCTTAGCCGTGCAAGGTATCTGCCGAATTTGTCAGGATCCGTGAAAGCAGGTAGGTGTAGCGTTCGAACCCGGCACCATACCGAAGAGCACAACGCAAAAGCCCAGCTTGCGCCATTAGCGACATGGTGTCACTGGTGACACTGGCATATGTATGGACTGGCTCAGTGTTGTTTTAAGGCTGCGATGATGGCGCCAGCCAGGCAGTTTCTCAACACAATAGTCGCAGTTGACAGCTGCTGTGGCTTTGGACTTCAACGTCCAATCAACTTCGACAGATGGGCTGTCACCCCGGATCCAATTACGGGAGCGAATGCTGGCAGCCTACGGCACGACATGATGAGTCGGGCACGTCAGCGACTCAGAATACCGGCACTACCAACCCCAGCTTTGACAGGTCGATATGAACACAGCACAACTGCGCAGTGAAGCCCAGTGAACACCAACACCAACGCGAGTATTCCAACCGGCCGAATCAGTTTTTAAGAGATCCAGCCGCCGATAGCACGCACGCGTAAGTAATGTCCTCGCCAGTCCACCACAATGAAATGGACTGCCAGCAACATTCCGCAACGCCGCAAGAAAACCGGTTTCATGCGCGGCGCTTTAGAAAACTGGCTGGCGGGGCGGATTATTCAATCGTCATTACAAAGCTATCGAAGCTTACATCAAGCACGGCTTTCAGTGAGCCATATGGCTGAGCAAAAACCAAGTCAAAAATGACAAGCCACATGCCTCACGGTCAACATACATGGCATCCATCACGTCTCCATAAGGCACAGACATCACATTACCACTGCTAACTCGCAAACTGGTCCGGAAAGTCGGCTGCGACTGACTGTCCACAACAGGCCTCCCGTGGAACACATCCGGGAGCAGACATCTGCGCGCACCCACCCCGACCGCGCCGAGCGGGGCGCTGCGCCGGTGTCCAGCGTCGGCGCCCGGTCTTCAGAGGGCGACACGGACCGAGCTGGCGGCGGCAGACCACCGGCGCAGGGCCGGTTACAGGCCGCTCCGGCGGAAAGCCGCGCCCCCTCTAAATACGGACAGCGGCGACGGAGGTGCGGCCCGGCCGCTGCTCCGCCCTGGCCACCAGCGGCCACCGGCCGGCGGGTTCGCGACCCTGCGGCGGAGCTCCGACCGCCCGGCGCACCGGCCGCCCCGGCTCGGACCAGCAGAGCTGGGTGCCGGCGGCGTCGGGCCCCAGCACAACAGCCGGCCGACGGCGCCCCGCCAGGGAGTCTGCAGCGGCGCCGCTCGGCGGGCGGGCCACCGCACACCGCCCCAGCCATGTCCCGGGGGAGGGGGACAGCAGCGCGCCAGCGGCCCGCCCAAGGTGCCGCCATTGCCGACGTCGGGCGAGCGGCCTGCCCGGATGAGGCCGGTCGCCTTGCCGCGTCTGACCACGGGCGGTTCTCTCTGACAGCGGAGGCAGCGTCGCCCAGAGGGAACGCGAGCCACCTGCCGTCCTAGCGTACCTGCTTTTCATTACGGCGTCGGGTGACGAGAAGGCGGGAAACGGAGGCCGGAACACAACGCAAGGACACGGGAGACACAAGACGGCGATGTCACATCGAGCCCGAGAAGTCCAGCACCTTGAACACAATCGCTTTAGCATACACGGGAGTTGCACACAGCGTAAGGTACCGAACGGCAAACCGTCCCTCCTCTGGATGTACACAGAACGACAGGAACGTTGATGATGAAAAGCAGCTGGCGCGCGCTGCTGACGAACCGCACCTGAAGCCAATTAAGGGGCCCGGTGCGGGCTGGGCGGCAAGACGGGAGCTGTTGCGAAACGACGGGCTCCCGGAGGCGACGCGTGCAGCTGCCGCGGAGATCTAGCGTCAGGTTACACCGCCAGCGCCGGCGTCCGGCCGGGGTCACTGCTCTGACACCGCCGCTCCCCACCGCGGTGTCACCCGGCGGCCACCAAAAGCGGGGGATTTATGACCAGCCCGGCCCGGGCATGGAAGCCGTGCCACACGGCTGGTTTTCATCTTTGGCCGAGAGATGTCACGGACGGACACAGACGGACGGGACGGCATCCTGCCAACTAGCGGCACACGACAGGTCTGACGGGCGCGACCGCTTCAAAGAGAACGGCGTCTCCAAGCCCCCACCTCCCCGTCCCGCCCACGAGCAGCTATGACAACCCACCACGGACACGCCCGCGAACGAGGAACACTGCTCCCCACCGGCACGAGGCGACAATCCCACGCAGCCGCTAGCGACAGCCCTCGTGCTCAGCGTCGTCCTGCCGGCGCACTCACGCTGGTGCTGCCGTAGCCGGAGCTATACGACCTGCCAGAGAGGCTGCCGAGGCTGCTGCTCAGGCTGGGTGAGCGGCCGGCGCGGACGGCCGGCGCGCGCGGCACCAGCGCCGGGCTCAGGTTCAGGCCGGCCGTGGTCGGTGATCCGCCGTGCACGCTGCGCGCGCGCGGCCGCGGCGTCGACCGTCCCAGCGAGCCCGAGTAGCTCAGCTTGGATCGCGGCCGCGACAGGTGGCCCGTAGAAGAGCCGCCATGTGACGGGGATGAGTAGCCGCCGTGTGACGGCGACGAATAGCCGCCGTGCGACGGGGATGAGTAGCCGCCGTGTGACGGCGACGAATAACCGCCGTGCGACGGCGACGAATAGCCGCCGTGCGACGGCGAGGAGTAGCCACCGCGCGACGGCGATGAGTAGCCGCCATGGGCGGGCGGCGCGGAGTAGCCGGCGACCGACTGGTAGAGGTGCGCGGCTGCGCCACTGCCGCCGCCGCCACCGCTGCCAGCGGCGCCGCTGAAGCTGGGAGAGCTGCTGTAGGCCAGCCGCGGGCTGATGCACGAGGCGGCGCTCTGCGAGAGGGCCACCGCGCCGCCGTAGCTGCCGTTCAGACGCCGCAGTCCGCTGTTGAGGGGCATGCCGAACACCGCGAGCGCGCCGCGCCGACTGCCGGCGGCAGCGCGGCCGCCGCCCGCGCCGCCGGCCGCCAGGGGCGCTGGCGGCGGCCGGCCTCGCCGGCGGCGCTATTTGCAGCCGGTGCGGTCGGTGGCCGTCGGAGACCGGCCGGCGACGGCATCGGACGTCGATGGCCCCGCCGACGGGCAGCTATAAATAGCGCGATCGACGGCGCGCGGCGACAGGGCGGATCGGATGCGGAGGGTCCGCGCCCCGCCCCTCCGCAATCATCACAATGTTCGACGGCGGAGGAGTGCGGAACATAACGGGGGGGGGGGGGGGGGGGGGGGGGGGGGGCGGTGCAGTGGGCCCCGCCCAGCAACGCGGCTGCAGCGAAACAGAGAGCCAACCTAGGGCACCCCTGAAGCCGATTCATATAATTTTTGTCACTGGACGATGTAGCAGCGGAGATGCAAGTATGCCAGTTGTAGCAGATGGCCGACGGAGGGTGAGCGCGTCGAAGCAGAGCAGAAAAGTGCCGGTTTGGATTCCGCCACGGATGTTGAACGCCACAGGCCACCAGGGCGGAGCGAAACACGACCTCGCAGCCGGCCCTCCGCCCTACACCACTGCGTCCGTCCCCAACGCCGGCACGAGCCGCCCACCAGTGTCTGCCACAAGGCGGCCTGACAGAGCGGTCTGACGTCTCCGCCCGCGCTCAGTCGTGGGCGGCGAAGGCGGCGGCGGACGGCGCCAGGGACGCGGCCCGCTGTCGCCGGAGCGTGACGGCAGCGCGCTGGCTCACCGGGCGGCGGTACTCACCGGCGCGGGGCGCTGCCGGGCGCGCCGGCCGGCGCCGGCCGCCTCCGCCATCGACGAGGGGGCACCGCACTGAGACGGCCAGCGCACCGCGCCACCGCCGCCGCCGCGGCCACCTCCAACGCGCTGTTGTTGTTGTTATTGGCGGCCGGCGGCCCGGGCTTGTTTGAGCAGCGGGGGGTCGCGTGCAGAGTAGGCGCGCCCGGCCGCCAGAGCGCGCTGGGCGGCCGCTGGTCCGGCCGACCACCGGTTCGTCGCCGAGCGGACGCGACGCGGCCTCGCCCCAGCGGCCCCACGTTACCTCCGCAGCCCGGCTCCGACAGGAGGCGCGCAGGCTGCAGCAGCGGTTAGCCGCGGCTCGTCGGCGTGTGAATAACAATGTCTTCACCAGTCGACACCATCAGGAGGAGACTGGCATGCCGTGTGACGCACACTCACCCCCGAGTCCGAGCCGTCACCGTCCCTGCCGCCCTTCCGCTCGTTCTCCTGGGGACGGAGCACACGGTCAGCACAATGCCGATCGACACCGAGCCCCCCCCCCCCCCCCCGACGAAACACAGCATAGGACGATTGCGCTCCCTAGCTCACGCACGTGGCGAGGACGCAACGCTACGGGAATAGGCGGCCACGTGGCTAACGCCGCCGGGGAACGCCCGGACGACACAACAGCAGGCGGCTCTACATCTGGCCGTAGCACAAGCAGCGGCTGAGCAGCGGTGCCGGCGGCGGCAGCGTCCGAGGCCGGAGCGGCTGGCGGGCGGGGCCGTCGGCCAAGCCGCGCGGCCGGCCGCACGTACCTCGACGTCGAACTGGACGACGCCGGTGGAGCGTCGCTTGGGCTTGCGCCGCCGCTGGATGGCCGCCTGCGTGGCCACCGCCGTCCGACTGTCGTTCTCCTTGTCCTCGTCTGGCGAAGGCCGGCGCACGGTCAGCCGGCAGGGCCCAGGCGGGGGGGGGGGGGGGGGGGGTACACGTGCAGCTCTGACGCCGGGCTCCGTCTAGACCGCACACCGACGATGCAGAGCGGAGCAGGACGTCGGCCCCAGCAAGAACGCCGGCAACAGAACGACCAACACAAACGCTGCCACTATCAAGACAAATGCACGTCAGCTTGGCACGGGAGAAACACTCCATTCTCGCTCCGCAGGTGTCCGCGGGACAACCACGTGACCTCTCCCCGGCTGAGCTGTTCACCGCCCGACCGCGTCCCACGCGTCTGCCGGCGCGCGTCGCTGCCGCGGCCCGGTGCTCACCCTTGTCGTCGAGCGGCGCGGCGCCCGGGCCGGGCGCTGTATCGGCGCTGTTGGACTTGCGCCGCAGCGGCAGCGTGACGGTGGCGTTGGCCTCGGGGCTGGCCGGCGCCGGCGCCGTCCGGCTGTTGTCCCGCGTGGCGTCGCCGCCGCCGCGCACCTCCTCCAAAGAGAACTGTACGATAGTGGCGCGCGCGCGTCGGCGGCGACACGGGGCCGGGTGCGGGGAGAGACAGAGGCAGGGCGGTTAGGCAGTTAGCGGCGCGGCGACGGCGCGTCTCAGCGGCCCGGCACGGTTACACAGGCGGCGCGGCTACGGCGGTGCCCAGGCTGCATCCCTCTCTCTCTCTCTCTCTCCCCCCCCCCCCCCACCTACCCGCCACTGGTCCCCGGTATGGCGGGTCGGCAGCTGCTGGCCCGGGGGTGTGGCTCGGTCGTCCCGTCCGCACCGGCAGCACTGCACGCCCCACCTGACGAACTCTGCACTTATTTGGTCACAAGGACACGACAGATTTGGCCATTGCTGTCTTGGCATATCAAAAGTTGGAAGCTTTGTGCCTTAAGCTGAATATGTGATGCTGATAGTTTCACGTTAAGCATGGTCTCCAAGGCCAAACGTGAGCCTAATAAGACCACGAACCTGAAAGTACGCAACGGTATAATCTCATCCGAATATAGTTGGCCCGGCCCACCGCGAAGCCGGGAATCATGCTAAAAACCGGCCCTAACTGACGTCAGATAGATCTCAAACAACCCCTTTGCTTTCCTTCCCCTCAAACAAGGGGGCAAATAAGCTAGCAATCCCGTCCGTTCAGAGGGAATGATTCGCCAGTATTTGCTGCCACTATAGCCCACAGAGTCCGGACCATCCCATGGTCATATTGCCTCAGTAATGCCAGGCAAAGCGACGTAACAGTGTTAACAGCCTGCACTTAGCCCTTCGCGCAAAACGTAGCCCGCAGTCTAAAAGCCAGCCTTAGGAAGCCATGATAATACGCAAAATGCCCAGGAGCAAACGCCATACTTGACCGTGCCGGCCCAACACCGATACTGTAAGCTCCACACCAAAGGTTAGCAGAGTTGAGAGTGGTCGCATGCTAGTGACTCCAACTAACGCTGCCGTGCAGCAGGCGGGGCGGCGGTGGATGATTGGTCGGGTGCACAGGCATAGCATGTGTTGGCTGAATACTGGACACAGGAGCCTGCCAGGAAATAGTCCGAGGCGGCTTACACAACACGGCATCTACATGGGAGAACATGCAAACATAATCTAGAGAATAAAGAACATCACCATAGCACACTCCCTGTCTATATAAACTAAGAGCAGCATCAAGGAATAGCAGCACGCTAATTCATACAGCCCAACGCGAACATCTCGCCGATCGGACAAAAAGCCTAAGCAAAAATAGCAACCAAAAAGCGTACTACTTGAAAACGAAAACAAAAATTGAAGAATTCGAGCGGGCAGCCAATCACTCTTAAGCCGGCCGGGCGCAGCAAGAAAGCGGTCTGACGCCGCCATAAGCGCAGCTCCCATGCCCGGCGCCGGGAGGCGGCCAGCCGCGCAGCGGGTGCCGCGGGGCAGTGCAGGTGGCGGCGGGGGCCGTGTACCTTGTTCTTGTCGCCTTCGTCGAGCCGCAGCCGCCACGACGGCCGGCGCTCCATCGGCTCGTCGCGGCCGGCCGGCTCCTCCCGAGCCGACGGCGGCGGCGGCGGCGGCGCCGGCGCCTGGCGACGCGCGCCACCGGGTCAGCCGCGGTCACCGGGCCAGGCCAACTGAGCGGTTAGTGGAGCGCGACACGCGGGGTCTGACGCGGTCACGATCAGGTCAGACCACAAGTCAGTGGAACACACCCCGGGGGTCAGCCGAGGTCACAGATGTTAGAGGAGGCCACAGGTCAGTTGAGCACGCCACGGGGGGTCGGACGCGCCTCCATGGCTCCGACGCCATCGTAGGATAGCGAAGCGCGCTATAGCGGCGGGACGCGGCCAGGGAGAGGGTGGGGGGAGGGGTGTGTGCTAAGCCAGATAGTGTCGTGCTCTGAAAACGGACGCCTCGGCACAGCCATAATAGCTGCGTAACGGCGATAAATAATGAAAAACACCACGACCTGGACGGACAGCATCACTTGAACAATGACACGACTGCACGGTCTCAACGACCCGGCGCTACCACTTCTGCTCGTTAAGCCGGCAAGCTCGATAGCCACACTCACGACACCTATCAACAGCCTGATGTAGATCGGCCTGTGGCACCGCAGGCCGGCGGACGGTCGGACGCTGCTCATGCCGAGGTTACCGCCCCGGAGAGAGCGGCCCGCACCACCGGCCATCGGCCGCCGCCCCGCCGCCGGGCGGCCCACTCACGCTGGCCGGCGTCGTCGTCGTCTTCTGCTGCTGCTGCTGGTTTTTGACGTACTGCTCGGCCGACTTGAGCTCCTCGAGCGTGACGCCCTGCGTGGAGCGGCGCGTCTCGCGCACCCGTTTGGCGTGCGCCTTCCGCTGCGTCTCGCTCTCCTCGTCGCGCACGGGCGGCACGAACGACCTGTGGCCGGGCACGCAAGGCTCAGCGGCGGCGGGACGGGAGGGGGGGGGGGGGGGGGCAGGGTCAGGCAGGGCCGTGGCGCGGCACACGCAGCCGAGACTGAAGAAGCCAGCAGTGCAGGCGGGCAGACTCCTGGCGATGGGGATGGACGCGCGGCCGTTGACCGCCGTCACCGGGTGCGGGCTAGCCCCGTGCACACGCTCCGCCTCGTGCTCGCACCGAAACTGGCACGGCAGCAGCGAGGCAGAGAGAAGGGGAAAACAGCCTGAGTATCTGCTGAGATGGAGAAGCCAAACTCACACAAAAAAAGAGACGGAAGGTAGCGACAAGACGAAAAAGTTCCCCGCATGTTATCTCTGAGTTGGCCGGTCTATCCGGCGACTACCAACTGCGATGACGCAACACACAGATCTTCGGCGCTTAACAGGCATGATGACACAGAATGCCGGGCAGACCAACTTCCGGAATGAGCGTCTTCACACCATGCAGATGTGGCACAGCAAAATCTCACACGTGGCATGCCTACACGCCTCGATCAACGTGTTATCACATCCGAGGAGGCTGCAGGCTAAGCAGCAGCGGAGGGGACACTCTCAAACGCATGCAGTGAAGAGTCCACACATCAGTTCACTCGGCACAAGCCGCTCCGTCCGTCGATGGGCTATCACAGCATCCGAACAGCACGCTGTTACAGACTCACACTGTACTCCCGCTGGCGAAGACTACCACGGCAAACAGAGCGCACGCCGCTACAACCCACACCGCCGTCCGTCTGGGGAGGTTAGCTCGCCGGCCGGCCGAGGCCACACTGCGGCAGTCAGCTGACCGGCGGCAGTCAGGACAACACCCCAGGCGGCGAGAGATGCCGCCGAGGCGCGTTCCGCGGTGTTAGTGCTGCAGCTCGAGCGCACGCCGCCGGCGCGGCCGGGGCGAGCAGGCTGCCGGGGCGAACGGCACACGCGGCGTTCGACGGCGCCGTGGGCACGCGCCGCCCACTGACTTGAAGATGTTCTTGAAGATGGTGGCCGGACTGAGCCGGGAGCCGGTGGAGGCGGGCGGCGCCGGCTGCTGGTCCACCAGCACCTTGCCCTGCGCCGGCGCTGTGGCCGGGGCTGGCTCGCCAGCCGGAGCCAGAGCCGGAGCGGCCGGCTCCCGTCTCGGCCCGTCCACGTCAGAACTGGCGCCGCTGTGGGACACACGTCTGGTGACCGACGCCCGCTGGCCGCCGGTGCTGGTACGCCTGCTGCCGCCGCTGCTAAGACGAAGATGCGAGGACCCCGCCGTGTGGCCGTCGACGCCGTCGTTGTGCAGGCTCAACAGCCCCCGGCCGCCGCACAGTTCGCCCCTTGCCCGCCACCACCACCCCGTCCCCACCTCGACCAGCCCTGATCGCCGTGGCAGCCTGGCGGCACCAACCGCAGACCTGCCGGCACCAGGCGACACCAGGCGACACCAGCCGTCGGCAGCGGCTGGCCGTCGGCTCCAGCGGACCACACCTGTGAAAGAGCACCGACGGCCCGCCTCCCGAAAGCTCGCCGACCCCGCGGCCGCAGGACTCACCTCCGCACGGCCGGCGCGCCCGGCGTGACGGGCGACGAGGGCGGCGACTGGATGATGGTGGCCGACACCGTCTGCTCGGAGGGCAGCGCGGCCGGCGACGGAGGGGCCGGCGCAGACTGAGTGCGCCGCACCTCGGCCGGCTCCGTTAGCCGCGATGACGGTTCTTCCCTCTTGTCTGCGGCACGGCGGGGGTCAGAGGTCAGGCCGACGCCCGCTCCCGGCTGAGCGACCCGCCAGGTCAGGGGAGGGTCGCCCACAGGAGGTCAAGTCCACTGCAACGTGATGAAAATACACCCGAGCCAACGGAGCAGCGATACTGCAGGACCTGCATGACCTCTCACAAGCAGAAGCGCAGATAAACAGCATTGTAGCCACTGTCCCATACAGCCAAATGAAAACACCACATCGCTCGACACCGACTGTCACGGCCACCTCCAGCTTCCAGCCTGTCCGCCCCACACTGTCCGCTACACGCTATCCGCCGGCGCTCTGGCCACCGGCCGTCTGCCGGCCGATGCTCACTGTTTCGGCTGTCGTCGGGCGCCGAGAGCCGCTGGGCGGCGGCCGGGCGTCGCCACGACTGCGCCTGCGCCTGGTCCGTCTCGGCGCCGTCGGGCGGCCGCGGCGTGAAGCCCGGCGCCGGCGGCGGCGGCTGTCCGGCCGGCGCCGCCCGCCGCTGCTGGTTCGTCTTGTTGCGCAGCTCTGCGGCAGGAGGCAGGGGACTGATACGGCCGGCGCCACAATGCACGGCAGTCGGTTCAGGCAAAGTGTCGCGCTTCAACGCGCTCGATTCATCAGTTCCCTTCACAAGTAGTTACTATGGATGTAAGCGCCAGATCTATCTACACCAGTTGCGTTGTGGACAGTGAAATGATTCACAAATACACAGTAATGCACCAGCTTCCCCATCAAAATGACATCACAGCAGGTCTCATTAGCTGATTAATGCCAACCAACCACCCTCTTGCCCTAACGCGTTAACACATCGGCCTGTCAGCCGTCTAGCGCTCGCCGGTCCCGCGTCCCGCCTCCCCCGTCCCGCACCGACGCTGGCGCTCCACTCACCGACGGCGTCTCCGTCCGCCAGGTGGGCGCGCTCGTCCTCTTCTATCCGCGCGCCCTGCAGTCGCTCGCGCTCCTCACTGGCGTCGCGCGCCGCCTGGTTCGCCTTGTCCGGGCCCGACAGGCGCGTCACAGACGTCCTGCGGGCGCGCCGCGGCAGGCGACAGTCAGCGGCCACCCAACCAGAGATGGCTCCACTTCGATCCGACCACAACCGCGGTGGCACAAGGCTCACCCCCTCGGCTATCTGTGCTTCCCGCCGGGCTGCGAATGCGTGGATATGCAGCGCTCTCCGAGCGGCACGGGAACGCCTGTCCGTGCGCTAACCGATCTCGCGTGCGCACCCTGCCCGCGGCCTGCTCGGCGCCACACCACAAGCCGTTCGCCTGCCTCGGGCCGCCCGCCTTACAACTGCACACTGCCCGAGCCTCCGTCGCTGCCACGCACGCCCAGCCACAACTCGCGCTTCTGTCGCGGCCGGGTGGGACGGCGGGGCGGCGGCGGTGGCGGCGGCCCGGCCCGTACCTGTGCCGTAGCGGCGGCAGCGGCCGGCGGGTGAGGATCTGCTCGATCTCGGGCCGCTCCCGCTGCAGCATAGCCTGCTTGCTCTTGAGCTGCTCCAGCACCGTCAGCACCTCGGCGTCCGCCACGTCGAACGCCGTCTGGCCCTGTGACGCGACACCACCGGCGCGTGCGACGACTCAGTCCACCGGTCGTCGACGGGGGAGGGGGAGGGTTGCCGACGGGGAGGCGGGAGGGTCGCTGACAGGTCAGCTGCAGTGCGTAGGTCTCCGGGGGGGGGGGGGGGACGGTACATCGGTCCGCGAGAGGTCACCGGCGGACCAGTTCACAGGTCACCATCACACCGATGCTCGGCGCTAACCACCTGCTGGTGCATCCAACTATCAGACTATAAAACAGGATCAAATCACGCAGCACAAAGGAGACCACGATAACTGCTGCACGGTGATTCAACTCATCCGGCCTACACGTGATGGCCGCCGTTCAGACGGCACGTCGACCTAAACATGACGTGTACCGATGATCCTTTGAGCCGATAACCCATATCGCGTAGGTCCTATCTAAACCGAGCCATCTTGTCTGGATTAGACTTCGCGGAAATGACGTGTACACGGTCTCACAAAGGCCGCCCGCCGGCGCCTCTGCCAGACAGCCGCCCGCCACACCCACCACGAAGTTTTTGATGTCCATGTTGCAGAGACTCTCGGCGAGCAGCTCGCACGCCTCGCGCTGCGCCCAGTGGCCGGCGGCGTGCAGCGGCGTCCAGCCGTCGTAGTCCTGCGCATTGATGTCCGCGCCGCATTTGAGCAGCAGACTGGGGGACAGAGGGGCGAGTCACATCGAGGACGGGTCGCACCGCGGACCGACCGGAACGGACCCGGTGCGCGCCGTCTCAACCGACCGTGCCCCAGTGCGGTACCGTGCAGAGCCGGACTGTTTGGGTTTCGGCCGAAGCGACTGCGTGGTCCCAGTGTCCAGGTGTGGACAGTGGCTTCTCACGCCGCAGCACGCGAACGCTGACAGGTCGGACTCATCGGACCCCACGAGGTCCCACAAACGGTCGCCGGCCACCCTTGACCGCCGGGTCTGCCGGGTCCGGCGAGCGGACACCGCGGCGATCGCTGCCACGCTCCGCCCGCCGACACACGCTGGCGGCGAGTGTCACACCGTCACCGGACATAACCCCAGCGCCTGTGACCGAGCGCGCCCGAGACAGCACGGCGCCGCCAGTCACCGGACACGCCTCTGACAGCCGTGACGGCTGTGACGGCTGGCGCCGGGCGCGGCTGTGACATCTGTGACGTGCACCGGCGGCGAGAGGCGCCTGTGACAACCGTGAGCGGCGGCCCTCTGTTCGGGCACGCTGCAGCCGCCGCCGATGCGGTAAAAATAGCCGGCACGCACCGTACCGCCGCCGGCGACCTATAAACACCGGCCGGCCTCTGCGCGCCGGGGCCGCGCCGGGACCGGGACCGGGGCCGGGGTCGGCGTGCCGGGCCGTCAAGCTGGCGGCGGCCGCACGCCGCCCCGGGGCAGCCCTACATCCCGCTGAGACCCGCCGCACCGACGGCGTTCACAACGCGGCGCAATGAAAATTAGAAACAGAGATGAACTGGCACTGACCGTGCCTGTTATCAAAGTAAACCGTCCTCAGACAGATGAAATAATGTACGGAATGTCCAGTTCAATGCGGCCGACTGCAGCCGCACACACACACCGGCGGCCGACTGCAGCCACGCGAACACACTGGCGGCCGACTGCAGCCACGCACACAAAACTGGCGGCCGACTGCAGCCACGCACACAACACGGGCGGCCGACTGCAACCACGCACACACACCGGCGGCCGACTGCAGCCACGCAAACACACTGGCGGCCGACTGCAGCCACGCACACAAAACTGGCGGCCGACTGCAGCCACGCACACAACACTGGCGGCCGACTGCAGCCACGCACACAACACTGGCGGCCGACCGCAGCCACGCACACACACCGGCGGCCGACTGCAGCCACGCACACAACACTGGCAGCCGACTGCAGCCACGCACACAACACTGGCGGCCGACCGCAGCCACACACACAACACTGGCGGCCGACTGCAGCCACGCACACAACACGGGCGGCCGACTGCAGCCACGCATACAACACTGGCGGCCGACCGTAGCCACGCACATACACGGGCGGCCGACTGCAGCCCCCACACAACACGGGCGGCCGACTGCAGCCACGCACACCACACTGGCGATGCTAGAATCAGTGCCCGCTACCCGCACACATCACGTCCACGGAGCCCGCCACCAGAAGCCCCGCTGCCGCTGCAGCTGATGGCTCCAGCGGCAGGCGGACGTCTGGGCGAGCCGGACAGAGCGGCCCATCAGCAGGTGCCCCGGGCTGCTCGCAGCTGCTGCGGCGGGCGGCGCCGACCTGCCCCGCTCCGTCTGCGCCGCCCACTGTGCCCACTCACTGCATGGCCTTGATGTAGCCCTTGGCGGCGGCCACGTGCAGGCCGGTGGCGCCCGTCTTCGGGTGCGGCTGCTCCATGATTTGGCCGGCGCTAAGCCACTGGTGCGCGTCCGACAGCAGCAGGTTCTCCTCCTCTGTGCGGGACGCGTCGCAGTCGATACCTGCCAGCCACGGCGAGGGCGCGGCGTCAGCGGCAGCGTGGACGAGGTGCAGCGCGGGCGGCAGCGGACCGACACACGCGGCCAGTACTTGGAGTAGCAGGTCACGCGACGCTGACTGGTTGTAAGCCAAGAGTGCCAGTCAGCGGCCAGTAATGAACGCCCTGAGTCCATGCTGATGCGTAACGATGCAGCCGAATTCATTGTTACATGGGGCAACTTTTGACAGTGGAGGTTGGGCCCACACTGGTCATGTGATCATGATTCATGATCAAAGATCTTCATGCCCATTGCATGGCACAAACAAATTGATTGCAAGAAACTTAACACCAAATTCATTCCATGTCACCACCTTGCTGACCTAACAGTGTGTTGTTTTATTCCCTCTTCAGCTAGATATACTAACAATCCCATTCCTCTACAGTCAGACCACACACACTAAACCCATCTGCCCAGACCAGCTGCTTGATTAAAATCCCCTCTGCCAGAGCCAACACCATCAGAACAAAACCTGCTTCAACCACACGCATCACCACTCGGTTACGGCCAATACCGGATCGCTCTCCCCTCCAACCTGCCCAGCCCTCAGACCTCCGGCCGGACTGGCCGCCTCTGCCACCCTGAGTGCCGCGGCGGCGGCGCTGCTCACCTCGCAGGTCAATCTCCCGCTGCAGCATGTCGCCGACCTCGTCCGTCTCGCAGATGTCGATCGGCAGCTCGCCGTCGTTGTTGACGGCGGCCACGTCGGCGCCCTGGTCTATCAGATATCTGGCGGCGCATGCGGGCGGGACCCGGCTCAGTGGCCGGCGGTGACGCGCCAGCGACCATCGGACGGCGCCAAACACTACCACGACCACAACTGAACAAAACTAGAAAACAACTCAACAACTACTTCAACGAGGAAGCACGCCGACCTCACATGCACTCTTGTCTTGTTCCCTGAAGCCATTCCCTTCTTACATGTGCTGCGCACTTCCACCTTCCCACAAGCTCCCCAAAACCACCGCAAAACCGGCCGCCCTGCCTGCCCGGGGCCCACCCACACACCGCTGGAGACGCGCCCCACGCCGGCCGCCATCCGGCTCCACATCACCGGATTGACCACAGTGCCACCCACTTGGATATACTGAGGAAGCCACATGACGAGGTGGCGTGCAGCGGCGTCCAGCCCTCGTTGTCGCCTCGGTTAACGTCGGCGCCGTGCTGCACCAGGAACTCAACCATGTCCAGGTTGTCGCCGATGCACGCCTGTCGACGCCGCGGGTACGGTTACGGGCGGGCGGACACCGGCACTGGCGACACATGGCCGCTGAGGGTGGCGACGTGGTCATAAAGGGGATGCTGTCTCACGAAGGCATGCTTACAATGAGGACATGGTCATATAAGAAAGGGGAGTTGCAGACATGGTCAAGGGATGGACACAGTTGCAAAAGGAGTGTGGTGATGGGAGAGATGGATGTGGTCCAATTGGAGACACAGGAGATGCTGTTAAGGGTCATGGAGTCACAGGGAAAGAGTGGCTAATTGTGTCACATGCCTGTCTGTCTGTCTGTCACATGACTTGTCATGTGACAAGTGACTTGACATAGTGGCATTATCACAGGGGATAGAGTCCAAAAAGGCACAGTCATAGAAGAAAATGAGCATAGGGAGATGCATTCATACAGGGGACATGGTCACAAGGGGTTGACACAATCACAAGAGGGGCACTGTAAAGGGGACATGGTTGCAGGCATGCACAACTAACACAGATGCTGGTGGACACGACTGCTGAGGGAAGGAATGTTCAAAGAGAACACATTCATGGGAGGGGGAGACATCACAGTAATGCTTTGTAGGAAGTTATTCAGAATGTTATGTGCACATTAGGATGGGCAAGAGCTATGACAGGGCTTGCTAGATAGTGATTGGCATAGCATATACACCAAAATGTTTACTAAAATGCACCAAGTTCAGTTGAATATCAGTTGGCAACTTGGTCTTGAGTGCTCATTGTTAGATGAGTATTCAATGGTGAAGCAAATGTGTCATTCATACTCTCAGTCTGAATGTCTTGAAAACTCTGATCTTATGACCCTGGACTTAAATGATGCTTAAAATTATACAATATAGGTTATAACATTTCAAAGCCTTGGAGCAACCCTAAAATGATGACTGCCCAGTGGTCCTACTTCCCAACAATTTGCTTAATCCAGTTTTTCAGTGACATTATCATATCATAACATCATATCAAATCAGTAACATTTTTTTCAATCACCATTATTCTGCAGTGCATTACATTTTGATGTTCAGCCCAAGAACCATAATCAGGCAATAGCTACTGAAGAACCACACCAGACATTTTCAGAAATGCTCAATAGCAGTTTTGTAACTAGCTGACACTTACTCTTGCTCCCTATGGCATGAACCTTTGGTATATGAGACTCCCACAAGTCCTTGTGGAAAATAATTCATAAAAACATTGCAACTTAAAAATCAAAAGACATCACACAATTCAGGAGCAAAATGCACAAAATTTTCAACATGTGCCCCAGCAAACTTTTACCATTTTTACCAGGTTTAGTTTCAAATGGCACCTTAACAACACAACAGTGAAAAATACCACAAAGCAGTAGAATATTCACATACTGATGTCCTTTTCCCAGACCTCACACATTTTTGCTGGACATATCTTCAACAACTGCACACTAAATATCTGCCCAACCACAGTGCTTCCTTAAATATATATCTATGAAACATACCAAATGTGCAGCTCAAGTATAAGATGTCAAGCGGTGCAACCTATCTCTAGAACAAATATTTGCAAAGCATACATATTTCATCCACCAAATTACAGATAATCGGGGTGTCATATTGCAGATATTTCTAAAACAAACCCACCTGCAGTACAATAGAATTGTGCAAAGGAACTGATACTTGCATTTCACTTCTGAAATGAAGTCCATTATTTCTCTCTCCTAACCACATTGTAATAATTGTTCATTTCTAGAAGTGCTTGCTCATAGACTGGTGAAGAATACATTATTACTTAGGGGCTTATTTAGCTAGAACCTGCTTACAGTTCACGCATAATTTTTCCAATTGAATAAACTCATGATCATGCAGAGATGCAGATCTCCCTATACTGAAGAATATGCATCCCAGAATCCCAATATTAGGAATGAAAGCAAGGTCGGTGTGCAATGCAATGAAGTGGTTCCAACCATGTTGTAACCAAGTTACATAAAACTATGGTAGCGTAAACATGACATATTATTGCTCAAAGTATTGATAAATACCAATGATACTTTATAGCATTTAAGCCTTACAGCAAGTCATTAATAAATGATAAGTGAGCCATAAATGCCACATATTTTAGTCATGAATAATGAATGCTCATGTAGCATATTAAGTCTGTTCAAAATAAGCAGCATATCTTGGATGCTGCATGAATGGCACATTACATATGACCCAGCAGCATGACAATGGCCAGCAGCTTAGACTTACAGGCTTTATATATGTACATCTGCTTGCTAACTTTTGCTTTAACAAACTATGGATAATTGGCAAAATGCATACCATGTAAAACAGTTTAGTCCTAAAATTATTACTGTTAATGATACCACAAATATGTCCTAATGTGATTTCAATGTATGGTGACCTAATGCAGCATATTCAGTATGGCACTGATAAACAAGCAAGCAGCATGCATTATATTTCAGGAATAGCTCATTCAAGGTTAAAACCCATTGTGGATCTAACATAAAACATACTACCTTCAACATGCAAACTTTTGCACTGCCATAACATTCATTTGAAGCATATGATCAAGAGATCAGCAGCAAACATCAATGAACTGCTATCCCAGCTGAAGGTATTCTGTACGATGCAACACAAACTCAAAATTATCATCGTACATATCCATGAAATCACATCATTCTGGGATTGACTGGTCTTATGTGTCCTAAATTACATCACTGATGTTCTCCCTGTAATGATTGATAGGCTTAATACTGAGGCAGACAGTTGCAAAACCAATAATTTATTGGTTCTCATAAATGTATACTAACTCTCACAAATGATCAGCCAGAAATGGCATGGTAGTATTCACCTACCACCAATATTATAGTATCATCATCCGAGTAAATTGGCATGGTTTGGTAGTCACTATACCCCACCACAAGTTAGCCATTGCTGAGAACGTTGCTAAGCCTAGGACCAGCGTGTTGCACCTACACTTTTGCTTTGGCTACCATGCGCACATCCCTACAATTTGTAAGACAATCATACAGGAACTATCCCCTGTACAAAAGAAAATACAGAATTCACACAAAACCTCAGAATAAAGCCACAATGTAGGTCTTAACTGTGTCTTAGTTGTGCCAAATTTAGAATGGGCAAAACGGGTCAACTGCAAGGTAGTGATAGGCAGGATCTACATATCTTCACCATGCATGTTGGACATCTGTGGACTTCATACCTGATGGAGGGCTGTTAGGCCATCCACATCAGTCGTATCTATATCGACTCCCTTGACTAAGAGTCGCTTTACTTCATCCTTCTCTCCAGCAGCACAAGCAGCCAAGAAGACACAGGCATCAGAAAACATGATCCTCCGGTTGTTATCCTTGAGCGTTGTGTCTTCTCTGTTCGTGTCCGACTCCTGCCATCTTCTCAGTTGTTCGGCACGCTTGAAAAGAGCGGAATTGCGATTTTCTAAAGCCATTTTTGGTTGTAAATATCACAGCACATCATCAACTCTGGACACCAATCTTCAACATGGAGGGAGCGGCTGCACATAGACTCGCTGAAACGGGTTCAGCCAGTATGGTGCGTGCTAGAATCCCTAATTACACTAGCGAATGTACCATTTTTCTGCATAAGAGACATCTAGCGACTGCTTGCGTTACTTCAAAGCAAAATAAACCTCTTGGTACGGACTTTATATAATTTGGTATGAACTACGAATACAAGGTGACAGCTTTTCATTAGCATGTAATTCGCGTTGAACCCACATTTTTTCAGATCAAAAGAAACCTGATAACCTTATCATACCATGCTCGATAAAACTTGCCATCTGAATGAATTGCTGGGCTTCCAAACTTGGCTGAAGATGCGAGGACATTTACTCTGATACCACACATCGCGAGAAAATGAGCGGATGTATTTGATCGTCATAAAAATATTAATTAAAGCAACGCGAAAGCAAAGCCTATTTATCCCCAGCCAACGAACTGACGACGAATAAAATATAAGAAACGATACCACGAATTGAGAATTCGGCTTGCACTGTTTATGCTGTAGCAGTTGCATCCAATGTTATGTTATATTTCATCAGGTGCACATCACTATGCGCTTGGAGAACCAAATTCATCTCGATTTGACCTTGCTCATGGACTGTTCAACTGATTTCCCCTCTCCCCTGCCGTCTTTGATCATAGCTGTCAGCAGCGGTCCCCACCTGAAAGAGCGTCATTTTTTTCGTTTATCAAATTTTTACACGTAATGTAGTAAATCAGACACTTGAAAAACCTATGTCGTTGCATCTCTTGGGCCATCTCTTGTATTGAACGAAGTTGGCTCGCAGCTCCCGTAAAGTATTATTTTCAAAAATGGGCATGTCGCACTAAACACGTAAACTTCCTTTCGAGCCAAGCACGATTGCGGTGCGTGAGTGGCAAATGCCGTGCTTGGCTTTTTACTTATTTATTGTGCTATTGTAAGGAAATTGTGCCTGGGACCAATTTTAAACACTATTTACTGTATCATTAAGTGCGATGTTTCATGCTGTTTGTGGTACTTCTAGCGTAAAGGGTGAAGATGTGTTCAGCCATTTCTGGTCATCCCGACCCTGCGCGTGCGGGTTGACGGACTCGGGCAGTTCGTATCATCAGGGCATGTTAAGCCCGCGTAACTTTTACTTGGCAAATTTTAGTTCAGCAACCTGTGGCTGGGTTTCTGGAAGTGTTCAGGCGTGGTTTTTTAAAGTGATGATGGTTACTGGCAATTCTCCAGAAGACTGCAATGTGTTGCATTTGTCGACTTCCTACGATGGGGTGATGCCCATGTGACCCCATGTGGATTGATTGATGGGCATCCTTCAGATCTTAACCTCTGGTCATGTTTTTATTGAGGTTAGAAAGTAGTCCAGCCTCACATGGTCACCAACATGCTGTTATTCAGTGAAGTAGACTGCATCATGACAGCAGCTGGATGATCTGGGAAGGCTGCTCTGATAGCACAACTGATTCAAAACTGACATGTGTTTGTGCCAGGCCCAATGCAGGTCGGATGTCAGCAGTTTCAAGAAGTTTTGCTGGACTTCAGATGTCTTCTCTTTTTGCTTTTAATTAGCATCTTAGAACACTTCATTTTTTTAGTCCCAGGGTGATAAAGGAGTCATACATCATCATTCTCTGCATTGTGTGGCTAGGTTCAGGGAGGAGAATGTGCACCTTTCATCTCAGCCTCAATGTGCATGTCTGGTATATTTACAGAAGTATTATCACAGGGCTATAAATCATGATGTATTCTACCAGCCCAGGTTGAGATGTAAGCATTTAATGAATAATTCTCATGAAGCAAATGCCTAAAGCACATAACCATTTTAGCCTTCTGGACTAAGATGAGCAAGGCTGTTAGATGACTGATGGTTGCCTCAGATAGAATAGGTGACTTCTTAGGGCACACAGGTGCTCATGATATGTAGCATGGCACCTGTCTGTGACTGTCAGAGTAGTTAAATGTTGTACTCTTTCCACAATATGTAAACTTTTTCTTGAATAGGGCCATAAACTGAGTATGTTCAGGGAGCTGATGCATCAATATTGAATGGCAGTGTGAGCAATGATGATCACACATGGTTGCTTTCACAGCTCACAGTATATCTGCTGATCCATAGGACCCAGTTTGTGTAGATGGTTGGCATTGCTTCCTTATTCCCAGGCATGCTGCTTATCCATGAACTTACCCAGATCCTTTTATTTAGATATCTGTATAAGGGGTTACCTTGCATGCTCTTCTGCTGCCAGCAATTATCCTGACCCAGTTAGGGTACTTTGTATTTCCACTGGGTGTGTGATAGAGGAGCCAGTGCCTGTCTGTGATCTTTTACCCTTGGATATGTTGAAGATGCCTATGATACATTGAGGGATGGTTGTATGTAAAGTGTATGATATGTACATGCATGATGTGCAATAAGTATTATTGTTGCGAGCTAAATAATGCATGTTTGCCTTTTTGGAAAATTCAGTAATATGTCTTAATGTGTTGACCCATTTTATAATGACCAATCAATGCTGATGTGCAATGCATTCTGTTTTGGTTTTCAGGTAGGCCACCATGACGAACCCTAAGGGATATCGGCGGGGTACCCGCTATATGTTCGCAAAGGGGTTCAGGAAGCATGGCCCCGAACATCTGTCCACCTACATGAAGGTGTACAAAGTGGGAGACATTGTGGATATTAAGGTAAGCTGGTCAGACAAATATGAACAGAATGGGCACCATGTGACCGGGGCAGTCAATGTGTAAAATCAAGTCGTTAAATATGAATAGCTATGTTGGTTATTTAGGTCATTTGACTGGTGGTAATTTGGTGAATAGCCTACCCTTGTAGCTCAATTGATTTGGTTGCCTGTTTTCCATGATATTCACATGTGGCAGAGTGGGCTTGAGTTTATTTTAGCTACTTGCTATTTGTGCCTGATTGTGATGACTTGTGGTAGAGGGCAGCAACTGTGTTGAAGGCCAAGTGATGTCATAGAACAAGACAAAGCATCACAGCTTGTTGATTTAAGACTCTATGTGGTAATTTTTGGTGTTTACGCAACCTGGGATTTCACTGCTGCTGTCAGGGCTCATGTTTTGTACAAAATGCTGCTAAACATGGGTCCTGACCCTAGAAATTCTTCTTTGAAAACTGGTGTGGACTGAACCTTAGTATGAAGTTGAATGATCCCATCAATTGTAGAAGAGCATAACAACAAAATTTGTGCACAGCAGGCTACTGGCTTAAGCAAGAAGTACATTCCAGATATGACTTGATATCACCAAAGATGGGGAAAAGAAGTTTGTTGGAGCAGTGTGCATTGTATCTTGAAACTGTTGTAAAATGACTGTTTATGTTGTTTATGTAGTGGTTTAATATAAATGATGTGGACTAATGTAGTTTATGTGGTGGTTTAATATAAATGATGTAGACTATGATTTGTGGGCTGAGCAAGGCTGCTGCCCTGAATTTTAGCCTTGTTTCATTATTGGTGATCAGCTCATTTTTTAAAGTTGTTGGGCATACATTGTTGGAATTTATTTGCTAGCAATTAATAGGATGGCTGGGTTGTTGCAACATCACCGCAATTATTTAGCTGAGGTACATTGGTCCATGAGAATCAGCCAGACATGTACCTTTGTTGATTTGGGGCCAAATTTACTCAAGCTATTTACAGTTTTTAGACAATTCTCCTGTTCCTGTCAAAACTGCAAATATTTTAAATTATTTAATTTTACCTCCTAATATTACAGGTACCAAGCTCAGCCAGTTCCATAGCTGACAATGTTTTAACCAATTTTTGAAATTTAATTTGGGGTACAATCTTTGTCATCCACTTTTTGAAATATTGAATGCAGTTTTGATCGCAGGAATACGGCTCGCTTGAGGTTTTTAGCTGAGGGTTTCAAGCTTAATAGGCTCTGTGTGATAAAAGAAATGTCTTGTAATGCCCATGTGTGTTCTGACCACCTCACGTCTCTTGCCACATGACATCCACAGTGACAGTGAGAGTTGTGCTCATTGTTACGATGCATGTGCGTGGTGCTGGCTGTTCAGTGCAAGTTTGCCTGTGGTATGGAATGTAATATTGGTACATGTCTCCACACTTAGGTAGCGGGGCGTATGTGGCCAAGCAGATGAGGCGTCGTCGGTCCCCAGGTTAGAAGGACCGGGCTGGAATGATGCCGCCCGACGTGTAGGGTGGACCATAGAAACCTTCAATTGTGATGGGTGGCTGACGGATGGTGCTCCCACAGGGCAATGGCGCCATCCACAAGGGCATGCCCCACAAGTGCTACCACGGCAAGACGGGCCGCGTCTACAACGTGACGCAGCACGCCGTCGGCGTGATTGTCAACAAGAAGGTGCGCGGCCGCTACATCGAGAAGCGCATCAACCTGCGTATCGAGCACGTCAAGCACAGCAAGTGCCGCGAGGATTTCCTCAACCGCGTCAAAACCAACGCCAAACTGCGCGCGGTCAGTACACGTCGGCTGGGGCGGGAGCGTCCTCGCGCAGCATACGGCGCGTGGCGTGTCACGTGCTAACGCACGTAGTAGGACCGGTATGAAGTGTACAAAGTGGTCTGGTGTATGAATATGTGTGAAGCAAAGTCTGCATCGTGCATTGCCTTCTTTTTAAAGGCAGATCTTTGAAAGCCGAGTTGATGGCAAAGACAGCGTTCAGTATTGGAGTCAGTTATCACTACCACGGGAATACATGCAGCTGGTAGTAATGCGATACCTGTCCCTAAGCTGTGTAAAGCATGCAGGGGGGTGTCACGGTGCTGGTATGATATCATTGTGTAGGTTGTTTGCTTTTGGGTTTTTGCTAGCAACGTCGGTTGCCCTCTAAAAGGAGGATGATAAGTTTGGATTTCTAAGCTGTACCTGGTGTGTGGAATTGTAGTTCTGTGTTATGAAACCACAAGTTGGATGTCGCTCCCATGCCTGGCAGGCGTCTTCGTGTGTTCACGTATTCACGTGCTGTTCGCAGGAGGCCAAGGTGAACAAGACGAGCGTGAGCCTGAAGCGGCTGCCGCGGCCGCCGAGGGAGGCGCACGTGGTGGTGACGTCCGACACCACTATCCAAGACGTGCGGCCCAAGCCGTACGAGTTCATCATCTAGTGCTGTCACCCTGTGGGAAGAGAATACATGGCGTGGAGCCAGCACAGTCTGTTTCCTGGAGGTCGCCGGCGGATGGGGCGCGGTACGCACGTGCAGAGAACCAGATCGTGTGAGGCGGCGGTCGGAGCCGGTGTCACGTGACGGAATGGACTTTCACCCCCCCATCAACGTTGTTGTTTATTGGAGTTTTCGGGCGCGTCGACTGCTGTGGTCATTTTGCGCCCATCCTCTCATCGACGAGAATTGCTCGGAATAATGTGCCGTGCGGAGACAACCCTGCATATGGCACGTGCCCTCGCATCCGGCTGTACGTGGTGCTGCCTTCGCCGGTCCAAATCTGCCCCAGGGGATGCAGCCGCGGGGTGCTCCCATTTGGGATAGTGCACGTTGCAGGGGCTTTAACTGATCCTTGGCTACCGATGGTTGAAGATTCACCAGAGGAAAGCGAGGTAGGGGAGAAACCTCCACCTGTACGCACCAGCGGATCCGTGTCACAACGTCCACAGCTCATGATGTCCGCAAACAAGTGGATCCGCGTCACATTGTCCACCCTGGCCGACGTGTGCCCGCCAGGGTACGCTACCGGGCCTTACCGCGCTTTAAACCCCACCAACGACAGCGGTGCCCCGGCCGTCTGGTTGAGAGGGCCGCGCCCAGGACCTCACGCCATCTGCCGCATCGTACACTATCAAAAACCGTTGTTGCGAAAGACGGTCTGACAGCATTCGCCAGTCGCCAGGGGCTTGCGAGCCGAGTGGAACGGGCGCTTCGAATGCTGATCTTGATGTTAGGAATGGGCTGCCATGGGTAAGACGGCAGAGTTCCAAGGCTGGTGGACGAAGAAACTTCCAGATCACTTAAATTTGCGCACAGAGTTTGCGGTCGATGCTCTGAATTCAATCGCAACTGATGTAATGTGAATGCATACTACATGTTCAGTAAATCGGACATACAGGGTGCAAATCGGATATGTTCGGCAAATCTAAAGAAAGGTGGTACACAACGGCGCGTGAAGGCCGCCGGTGTTCGTCCATTCATTTACGTCTTTCGTTGCTTTATAAAACGAGGCGATTCCATGTTCTTCTAGTCAGGCGCGGGTAAACTGGGGATGTCATGCGATGCATGCATGGAATGAATGGAGCGCGAAATTCGGCTTGTAAAATAAAGGAACCGTAGAGTTGAATATATATATATATATATATATATATATATATATATATATATATATTGTCTATATATATATATATATATATATATAATAAAGATATATATATGCAATACCGAATGCAATATATATATATATATATATATATATATATATATATATATATATATATATAGCATCACGGCGCCTAGCACTTTTGCATAGCGTAGCCGGGTTCCCTCCATCACTCGGGTTTCCGCGATCGGCTGCGTTGGCAGATCAGCTGATCGCTCGCGCTGTTTCATTCACGTCAGCCTGCTAGTCCTGCGCCTGTGCGAGAATGCACTTATTGGTCTGTCGGTGGGAAGGTTCTCTCAAGCGTCGGAGCCGTTATGTACGTCACGAATGGGGATGAGAATCTGTGAGTTGTGTCGCACTGGCAACAGATGTTCCGTGTTGTACTGGCAGCGATGTTCCGATAAAAAAAACTTTCGAATGCACGTGGGCGCACTTTCCTTGCATGATTATAAGCATTTTCCTCGCGCCGGTTCATTGTAGATGGCTCAAAAGTGGCACTTCTAACCCGTGACAGCTGACAACGACCCTCAGCAGCGTGCCGTGGCCATGACGACGGCCATCGCGACAACTGCAGTTGTTGCTGACTCGGTATGTACTGTGGGGCTGCCAAGAAGGAAGTGTAGCGCTGTTACAAAGTGTTGACATTGTTATTTGGACTTCAAAACGCTTTTTAGACCCTCATCTTACCTTGGTGCTACAGGAGCGTTACCCAGCACTAATACTAGACTTAAATGGTCCTGAGATTTCAGCAAAGTATGCTTTTTTAAATATGCTTCTAAGGTACGACGCTCCGTTCAGGGCGCATTGCTAACTGCGGCCGGCGTTCTCGTGGCGTGATGGCCAGAAAATGTGGGCCCGGATAAAAATTTAAAATCGCGCGTGACGAGTGCGATTGTGTGTATTCATTAGCTCTGGTAGTGTTAAAATCTGCTGGCACACTATGTCTCTCCGGTTTCGTGCCACGACGCTGCGTGTGTACGCTTTCGGGCACAGCACTTCTTCCGCACCGCACTTCCTAACGCGCGATGGTGCCACATTGAAGTGGTCATGCGTCAACACTAATGAGGGCAGGCATGCCCCCGCCCGCTTTTGCATACCACTAGTTTGGCCCTTGACGCCTGTTGAAACTGATTCCGAAGGTCACGTTGAGAGCAAATTGAGCAACGGGAAGCATATCCGAGATCTGATTCGGCTCCGTAGGACTTCTGTGTGGGAACAGTATCTCGCCGCGTGACTGTCCCCCGAGATCTGATTCGGCTCCACGGGACTTCTGTGCGGGAACAGTATCTCGCCGCGTGACTGTCCCCCGAGATCTGATTCGGCTCCACGGGACTTCTGTGTGGGAACAGCATCTCGCCGCGTGACTGTCCCCCGAGATCTGATTCGGCTCCACGGGACTTCTGTGCGAGAACAGCATCTCGCCGCGTGACTGTCCCGTCAGAATAAGTAGCTCAGGGACATGGGGGGACATGCATCTCACGAACCACAGCGTGTCGTTTACAATCTGCAGTGCGACTACGTTACGAATTGCGACCATGGACGCTCCCATCTTCAATCATACGACATGGGACGCCATTTCAGACATGTCTAAGCTATAGAGGACTTCGGATGCGACAGACACCGCTTAATTAAAAGCCGATGAGGTGGCATACATTGCCCTGGAGTGTGAAGGGCTGACTCCAGCCCGTCTGCCGAGTCTCTTGGCAGCCCATACCAGCAAGTTGAAAGGCACGATCATGTGCATGGATGTGATCAGTACAGTGAGGGTACAAAGGAGACGTGGACCCGAACAGCTCGAGATAGCCGGCGGGTGAGAAGGACTCACTTCGCCACCGTGGCATCAGGACCCGGTGTCTCTCCCCTCCAAGTCAGGGCTCCACGGTACCCGTATGGACCGTCTTTCTTGTCAAGGTTCGTGGTGCAGAGTACTTACTTGGGAATGGTTCCGGCTGTACTACAGCGCTGTACGATGTGGCGGCACGCGGTGCAGCGCCCCACAGAGCTCCACCGGCCTCTGAGCTTGGGTGGAGGGCGACACAGCCTCCTCAGAAGTGAATGGTTTGGCCGCCGCCATTCGCTGGACATCGACTGTGTAGTCTTCAGGGGCCCTGGCCGCCGCCATTCGCTGGACATTGACAGCCTACCACTGTGGTCTTCCTGCGGCGTCCCCAGCGGCCCTGGCCGCCGCCATTCGCTGGACATTGACAGCCTACCACTGTGGTCTCCCTGCGGCGTCCCCAGAGGCCCTGGCCGCCGCCATTCGTTCAGCATCGGCAGAGAGACGTTAACTAAGTTGGATCTCAGCCTCCTGGTGCCGCGCAAGCCTACACCACCCGGGCTCGGTGGTCGGTTACTGTGTGTCAACTGCAGGCGGACATGCCCCGCCATCAAATCCCTATTGCGCATTCCGTGAATGCGCTTCCCTCCCGTTACGTTGCAGTTTTTGCCGATGGCGACATCGTAAAGCCCTGCTACCTTTTTGCGTGCATGCGCATAGGATCAGTTAAGAATCAGCTAAGAACGTTGTCATGAGTATTAACCAAAAACCTATGCAACTAATTTAGTTGTTAAGTGTTTCAAATATAGGTTGTGTCACACTAACGCTGGATGTATAGGTGGCGGGAATATGTCCGAATCCCAACGGTGGGTCCCCAAATCCCATTATGTTGCAGCTTAAAAGGTTGCGCTAGGATCACTTGACGTTTTCTTGGAAGAGCAGCACAGCGGCGCGCGAAATATTCCGAGGCAGAGAAAAGTGCTGGCAGCGGTGGGATTCGAACCCACGCCTCCGAAGAGACTGGTGCCTTAAACCAGCGCCTTAGACCGCTCGGCCACGCTACCACTTACGACCTCGCCAGCTAAAAGATATTTCAAATACAATTCGCTATATTCTATGGGGCTGAAATATAGATGCGAAAAAGGTTGTGCACAAACGTGTGCTTTTCATATTCGCTGATTTAAGTATACAACAGTTCAACACATTTTTTCCAACGAGCTTGAATGATGGAGCACACCCAGGTTCCTCTGGGCACAAGCAGTTTTTGGAATATACTACTAAATGTAAGTTCGGGGGGGGGGGGGGGTGATCAAAGTGACATCAGGGAGGAACGAATTTATGCGGCATCTTATTTCAGGTGCGACGGGAGCGAATCTGTGATTTTTCCACATCGAGCTTGTGAAACTTTCAGACTCTCAGACTTAGGTCTTAAAACGGACAGGATGGTCCTCTAAGACGGCACCGCAAGGTCTTCAAGATGCGTATTTCAGTTCAAAACCCCACAGAAATGTGGAACGCTTCTTTAACGCGGGAAACTTTCTTAAAATTGCCAAGTTGCCAACAATCGCCGAATGGCGGACGAAACCGAACTTCGATTTTGGCGACGAAGGGGCCACAGCGACATCAAATCAGGGCATTCCGCCATGGCGAGGAACGGGCCATGGCACAGGTCACGGCGCGCACGTGCGCCCGTGCAAGGCAAGCCTCAGAGCACGTGCGCTCGCGCAAGGCAAGAGACGGCACACGTGCGCCCGTGCAAGGCAAGCGGCGGCGCACGTGCCCTCGTGCAAGGCAAGCGGAGGCGCACGTGCGCCAGTGCAAGGCAAGCGGCAGCGCGGGCGCGCGCGTGCAAGGCAAAAGACGGTGCACGTACACTCGTGCAAGGCAAGCGGCGGCGCACGGGCGCTCTTGCAAGGCAAGCAGCGGCGCACGTGCGCTTGTGCCAAAAAACACGCATCCAGTGGTTTAGATAATCTTTAAGGATTTGTGTCAGACTTTGGCCGTCCGGACAGATAACGCCATGAAAACAACTGCATGACGCAAGC